AATTTATTATCCACTTTTAAAAATAAGAGGGGGTTTTCACAGTGATGCCATAGAACAGGGGTGTCCAGTCCTGCTCCTGGAGGGCCAATGTCCGTAAGAGTTTAGCTTCAGTCCTAATCAAACACACTGAACCAGCTCATCAAGGTCTTCAGGATCACTGGAACTGCCTGGAAGTTGAAGCTCTACTTTGACGGACGTTGCAGGATTGGACCATGAGCCAAAGAAGAACAAGTTTTGATTCCCCAAAAAACCTTTCAGTGAACAGTTCTGAAAATAACCACTTTATTCTTAGTGTGAAGAACTTTTTAAATTCTAAAGAATCTTTTGTGGAATGGAAAGATTCCATTGATGTTGAAGATTCTTCATGGAACCATCGATGCCAATAAAACTCTTAATTTTTAAGAGTTTATTTATTTTTAAGATCCTTTTAAGCAAGGATCAGGACTAACTCTACTTGTGCTTGGTTGACTTTCGTATGTGCCATTACAAGCGGATTATTGCACAAAACATGGCAAAGAACACCTACACAGACATTATCCTACAATTGCTTCGTTCTCTATAATTTAAGTGTTCAAGTATTTGGCACACCTAAAGTCAAATTGCACTAAACACTGCTTAAAGTGTTTTCTTATAATGAGTGTTTATTCTCGGGAACGTTGCCAGGGAGATGATACATGACATAATGTTTTTCTAAGAATTCTTGCCCTCATAGTGACGTGGGGAGTGAATGTTTATTCTCCGTGTGAATAGTTTTTCTTTTCGTCTCCTCTCAGAGTAAAACAAACTCTGCATTTTGGTAGGATTGTTTTGAAATCAAAAGCTGACCAAACAAATGTCTAGCATAAATCATAACTTGCTGTCAATAGACAGAAGGGCAGCCCACAGCAGGCTGGTCACGTGACTCTCTCTGGAGGTAGAATAACACCGTCGTGTCGATGGCCTCGCTGAAATAACTCAACATTAGCATAACAGGCGGACTGAGCTGTAATGAGCGCTTGGCATCCATTAGGTGGCTGTTCTCATGCTCAAGTTCTGATTACTGACCTAAGGAAATGGCTAATCTTTCTCAAGACGTGTTTGTGATTGTGTGTTTTTCTTAATTGTACTGCTATGTCATGAGGAGCTTTCCAAATCGCATACTTCACTGCCAATGGGAAAGTACATACCTTTAAAAATGTTGGACAGTACTGTGCATGATTCATCATTAATGAAAAGAAAATATCTGTGTAAAATTGGTCATTAAACCATTCTTATGTAAATAGTCACAATCAATGAGATAATTTACATTGTTACGTCTGGAGACGAGCTGTCAGTGATTTATAGTGTATTCCACTGTCGGTTATATCCAACGCTATCTCATGACCAATTCGTACGAGTGATTAAAATGTGGCTAATTCGCACGAATTCGTACGACCTCACTCGTACGAATTCGTATGATTTGTCTAAACCCACGTGATGGGTAGGTTTAGGGGCGGGGTCAGGGGTAGGTCATTCGTACGAATTCATACGAATTTGGTAACTCGTAAAATATGTACGAATTAGCAAAAATCGTACAAATTTGTACGATTGAGGTTGTATGAATTCGTACGAATTAGCCACCTCGTAAAATTCAAAAACAGTACGAATTGCCGTAAGATCGGGTTATTATATCTTAACATCTTCAGTCTTCAGCGAGTTTCAACCATGTTCAAGCCTGACTAGTGAAGGGTTATGGACATTAGGCTATTAGCTAAAAGAAGCCTGCACAGTACACAAAAAAAGTAGTATGCTACAGAGCACCCCAATACTGTTTCTCACAATGTCAACTTTAAAATATTCTGACTCGTTAATTAAATTACAAAGGACCTATTATGCTTTTTTCCACCTTTTCATCTTCTTTTAGTGTGTAATGTTGCTGTTTGAGCATGAAAAAGCTCTGCAAAGTTACAAAGTCCCTCCAGCGGGAGTTCTTCTCTATATCAGTGTCTGTGTTTCTGAACTCCCTGAAACGACTTCATTATAGTCTTGAGTTTTCTTCCGGGAACAAACAAGTCACAATATTCCTCATTTAAATATTTCCCACCCAAGGCATACGCAGAATAAAGGGGCGGGGCCTGGTTGAGTTAGTTAGCAGTGTATTGAAACTCTTTGTTATGGTAAGGAGTTGACCAATCACAACACACTGGTTTAGCTGACCAATCAGAGCACATTGTGCTTTTCAGAAGGAGGGGCTTCATAGAGACAGAAACTAAACAGGACTGCGTTTCCCAAAAGCATCTTAAGCCTAAGTTGATCGTAGAGACCATTGGTGGCAATTGTTCTAGGATCAACTTAAGCTTATACGATGCTTTTGGGAAACCCAACCCAGAGCGTTACTGACAGACTGGGAAGAGAGGAGCCGCAACAATGTAAAATATGTGAAAAATAATGTGTTTTTAACATTCAAGAATGAAGCCCTTGTCTAGTAGAGCCCAAAAACTAAATCAGGACTTTGTAAAAGGGCATAATATGTTCCAAATTAAGTAAACAATGCAAAATAATCAAATTTATTTCCATTTGATAGGATGCCACAAGCATGCAACATGAGGTGGTGATTTCTGACAACGACGTGTTGCATTAATGTGCAGTAAACTTCCATTCTGAACAAGGTAAAGTGTTCATGGCATGCAAACACGGTATGCATGTTTTCTCTGTTGATTCAATCCTAACATCCTCAGCTGGATGTGTGTTTCTTGGAGGAAAATGAAGAACAGCAAGACGTGACCAACCTTTTTCAATTCTGTCTCTTTCTCTGACTCTCACTAGCTGTCCTATTGTGTTTGCTGAATGTGGCAGGCCTGTAAGACAGCCATAAAAACAATGTAAATCTGGCTCGGACAGGCGATGGGGAAGCGTGTGAAAGACTGTATAGTCCATCTTTTATTTCACACCCCTAAACCTGCGGCCTGTCCCCTCCTTTCCCCGCTTCCCTCTCATTGCGATCCAAACTGTCACCTTTTATGGGAGTGTGTGATGGCTTCACTGTGTATGAGTGAGAAAGAGAGAGAGAGAGAATCGGGGCTAAAAGGGAAAGAAAAGCCGTGATCGAAGGCCCCATTCACAGAGGAACCTCTCTCTTTCTTTTAACAGCCTTATTAGCTGGCTCGTTCGCAGTGAATGGGAACGCTTCTTTTATGAGGAAGGGGGAAAAACAGGAGGCTCGGGCAGCCTGGTGTAGAGCGGAGAAGGAAAGGCATATTGGCCACAGTTCCCTCCTCCTCCTCTCCTAATCCCGCTCTCCTCCACAACTCTTTAGTTTTCTCCTTCGGATCAGTGAAAAGAGCCTGTCCAATGGAGAAGACAGTTTGGAAGGGGAGTGTGGAGTGCGGCAGGGGCCCCTCAGTCTGTGACATTTAGGGGTCATTGATTAGGGAGCCTCCCCGTGTGAGCGCTGGGAGACTGAGGGCTCCATGGGGGAGCTGCACGAGGGAGTCTATCAGGCAGAGCTATAATGCTGGGAAAGTAACAGGCTCCGTATGCAACAGTATGAATGATGTGTAGTGCATCTTACAGAGATTAAAGGACATTTTTTACTCAATCCTTTTTACAAATCATTACACTAGGAGCCCCTGAAGGGACACGGTGAAGGAAAAAAAATATGAGATGGAGGAAAAATGGTTTGTCAATGCTTTTGCGTCCTCTCGCAAATGTTTTCCGAGATACTTTGCATTCGCTCGCAATGAGCTCAAAAAGCATTGACTTTTTATTTTTTCCACCCATCTCCTTTTTTCCCCACCACCATGTCCCTTTAGGGGCTCTGTATTACACCGAAATCAAATACTACTACTAATAAAATGATAAAAAAGCTGATTGATTGGTAGTTTTGTGTGAGATTAGTACATGGCTTTTATTGACAGTTTTCTGATAGTCTGAAGCTCTGAAATCTGCAATTTACGAAAAACACAAAGGCGAGTAAATAATGAAAGAATTTGCCATTTTAATTGCATCTCACTGTCTTTTTTTAATAGTTTTTATAGCAGAAACCATCAGAAGCATATACAGTTTCTGTAGATTAATACCATGATGTTGCTTAAAACAAAAAGAAGAAAATTACTGCCTAGTTATTATAATTATTATTTAAAGTTCAAGCTGAGGTGTTTTAGATCATTTATGTTTAGGCTTTTAGACTTTCTTCAGAAAATGCAAGAATGTTTACTATAGTGGCCAAAAGTTTGGAATAATTTAGTTTTTTTAAATGTTTTTTTAAACATCACCAAGAATGCATTTTTTTTATCAGAATACAGTAAAAACAGTACTATCGTAAAATATTATTACAATTTCAAATAACGGTTTTCTATCTGAATATATTTTAAAATGTAATTTATTCCTGTGATGCAAAGCTGAATTTTCAGCATCATTACTCCAGTCTTCAGTGTCACATGATCCTTCAGAAATCATTCTAATATGCTGTATATAATATATTTCAAATAATCCTAATATTTGAATATTTTGATCATGTAAATACAGCCTTGGTGAGCATAAAATACTCCTTTAATAAACATTACATTTAGTTATTCCAAACCTTTTGAGCAGTAGTGTAGTTTTTAGTTTGGATCACATAGTTTGCCATACACTCAAATCCCATTATCTCTGTTTTATTCGATTTTTCACAAGTGGAAAATCTTCAAATATCAACTCAACACATTACCTTGTTGTTTTTAAAAGGCAAAGCATATATTGTAAATTGAATCTTGATATGTCACAATGCAATTTATAAACATTTACTGACATTCTTTGTATGATAGAATGTTTTAAAATCTTAAATTCATGAAATGGAAAGTGTCATGGCACAAGTACTGCATATGTATGCAATTTAAATTGCCCTGGGGTCTCCGACACCCCAAAAGGGTTAATAATCCGACAGATCAGCCACTAGGTGGCGCAGTTGCAGTGAATGAATGGCATTCTGCAGCACTGGAGTGAGGGAGGGAGACTGGGAGACCCCCAGTTCCGGACAAACTTTAGAGGATTGCGCAGAACTGGTCGAGCTGCTCGAAGGGAGCACGAGCTCTGAGGTCTGAGCTCTGTCTGTGATTGGAGGAGAAAGACCGAGTCCAAAAACTATCAGCCAGGAAACGAGGAAACGTCTCGAGTTTCAGGGGGGAGTGACATTTCTTCAGGGGGTTGGAAAGAGAGAGAGAGAGAGAGAGAAAAAAATCTCTGTAAACCTGACAAAGCGTCTGAGAACAGCCAGTATCCTCAGAGACTGCGCTCATGTCACTGGATGTGTATTTTGGGATGGATGTTTTATTCTGTGTTTGTTGCGGTGTTGCATCTCTTGTAGCTGAAGCACGAGCCCTTTGGTGAAGCAACAACAACTTGGTTTACGGACGAAAAAAAGTTCTGCTGGGACGCGTAATTTTTTTCTCTCCTCTGGAAGGATTTACACAAACACGCACGGATACTATCGCTGGCTCGCTGTTGGCATGCGATCCTGTTTTTGGTGCGCTGCTGGATTTTGGGAATAGGGAATAGTTTTGGTCGCATTCCTGTCTGGATTCGGCCCATGAGCTCCCTGTTTATATGCGGATCCTGAATTTCACTATCTGCTCCTTCTCTGTAAGTTACTTTTGTATTTTAAGCGGAGGTTCCGTTGCGTTTCATTTTATTGCGGCTTTACCCTTGTTTAGTTATTGTGGCATTCCCCATTAAAATACGCAAATATGAACTATTAAATATCCTAATTATATATTCAATTAAATGTGCACATATGTGCATGTTATATGGGATATGTTGACTCCACTGAAAACGTCATAACTTTCATGTCAACTATTTTTTTTTTATGATCAGCAGTGGCCTTGTCAGACTCTTTTGTCAGAAGGTTTTCAAAATGTTTCACTTAGTGCAACAAAGTGCACTATTTTTTTTTTAGCTTTTTAAAGATAAAAGAAACTTGCAATATGTAAAATTATGAATCTGTGCTTATTATTAGCCTATTATGAAACATCAGATATTACCTTTGATGTAGGCTATGAGAAAATTGCCATTTAAAAATGTAGGTGTAAATTAAAGATGCAAGCCAACGCTATGTGATATGAAATCCTAAAAAGTAAATGTTCATACCAATCGGTTGTCTATTGTTTTGGATGTTATGAACGTTTTTGTATATTGCATAAATTTAAAAATCCACCCAAAAATCACCACTTAGATTTGCAGTTCCTCCTCCTAATTAAGTGTCATGATCAAAAGGAGGATTTTAATGCATTCATAACATACTGCAATCATTTGTAATTAGGACGTGCACATACATTTTGAATACTTCAATCCATTAGAATTCAAATAGATTCGAATTCGATTTTTTAGGAAAACACAAGTCTGTCTTGCTTTCTTTCAACGTGCAGTTTAATCACTGCAATGGCAATTAAACTATCATCAGGTGTCATGCCTTGAATATGTGGATATAATCTTGTAAACAAACAACAAAAAAGCAACATATTTACATACTATTTTGCCATGATAACTGGGTTTTGGATTTCCTTACAATAGCCTATTGATAAAACTAAACAAATAATCTCTGTGTTGAAATAAACTAGAATGTTATTTAATCTAGCAATAATGAACTCTAATCATAATGTGAATACTAATTATGTGTTGATCTATTGATACAATCTGTCCATTCACAAAGTGAACTAGTTAGTCTTCCGTGATAAAATCATGATAAACTCATTAGGGTTGAGCTTTGTAATGGGCCTCAATAAAGAACGAATAGGTTCAAGTAACAATTTACATGTAATCAAACGACAGTACAGCTAGTTCCAGTGGAACATCAGTGTTTGTCTTATCATTGGCAGCAAGTGCTTTCTGTGTCTATACTGATTTGAATGTGAATAGGATTCTGATGGACTCCTTCAGATTGCGTGAGCACTCGTTATATGCGCACAGCAATGCATTTGCGAGAAAAGTTCTCTGAAGGTGACGTCATGTATTGCATTGGGAAATTATTTTCCAAAATCATGCCCATGCAGCAAACCCGGGAAGCGCTGACGGTGATATGCTCATATCCAGCATAAGCAAAAATGCGCCTCAGGCTCTCTTTCATTTTCAAACCTATTATATTGATTACATCGCGTATGATTAGAAATGAGGAACAACTCAGTGCTTTAAATCCGACCTCTTGTCACAGCATCAAACCCTGCATTGCTCACCTCTCACGGTAAAAACTCGAGCATAATACTGCAGAGGAAGACCATATCCGTCAATCATCTCACAAGCATTAAAGCTTTCTAGAAATGCGCGCGCACGGTCACAGAGCAGATCAATAGCGCATTTACGCGCCAGATCTGCAGAGAGTGACGTGTGCGTGTTCACTGCGATTCCCGCGGGTTTAATTCACTTGTCTTGTTTTGAATGTTTGAAATCTGATTTTTGTTTGTGCAAATCAGTAGTTCTAAACTGCCAATAAATTAGTTTCCTTCCGAATAAGACTGAAATGCAAGTCTTGTGCAGATATAGATAGATAGATAGATAGATAGATAGATAGATAGATAGATAGATAGATGCGTTGGATAAAAGTGTCTACCAAATGCTTAAATGGTTACAAATTAAATGATCAAAATATATGCATAGTTTGTTTGCTGGAATATACTCCTGATAAAATAAATAACTGTTTACCTTATTATGCTGTCTATTCTTTATCAGAATCAGAAAGAGCTTTAATGCCAAGTATGCTTACACATACAAGGAATTTGTCTTTGCTTCCAGTGCACAGACAGAGTGACAGCGACAAGACAGATAATACAAATAAAATAAGTGATTAAAAATAAATATAGGCTATAAAAATGCACAATATACAAATTAGACAAAAGGCAATGTATGTTACAGGTATGTGCAATGCAAGAGATAGATGTAATGTAACAGATATGGTATGCTAAATAAATCTGAGTATAAATAGCACATGTTTATTGCCCATTGGGGGCATTTAATTGTCCATGAGGTAGATGGCCTGAGGAAAGAAACCAATTGTGTCTGGCTGTATAGTGCTCAGTGCTCTGTAGTTTCGACCAGACGGCAACAGTTCACAGAGGAAGTGTCTCGGATGTGAGGGGTCCGAAATGATTTGCCAGCCCTTTTACTTACTCTTGGTGGGTACAGTTCTTTCAGAGTGTGAAGGTTATAAAGTCGACAAAAGTTGCAGGTAGCTCTTGAGGCAGTGGCTGATGAAAGTGTTAGTCGGGTGTGTAGTGTGTAGGTGTCAGACTAACGCATCAGAGCTTTGCTATGTCTCTGGCAAGGCTCGTTTAACAGCATTTGGACACACGGGCCTTTAGTTTCTATACCTGTCTTCTCCATAAACATAGACCTACGCGCTGTCTGTAAGTTATAGTAGTGCTTCAGAATCAACTGATCTGAAATACTCAGATAAGATATTTAGGGTCTATGCTGTGGATTTAGGGGAGGGTTGACCTGCTGGAGGTTTTATTGGATGTGGGATATCAAACAATGTTTTTCTAACAGTTTCCCCCCCCCGTCTTCTCTTTTTCTCTTTGGGAACCACCTAAACCATTACTGTCGTCTCTACTGCCCTCCTCAGCTCAGGTGATTGGTGAGAATTCCAGTGACTGACCGACCGGACAGCCTGCAGTTCATGATTGGGTGGAGCACCTCAGATGGGATCTGTGTCCAGGGGGAGGCCGAGGAGGGGGGGATGGGGAGACACACTCTCTGTTGACGGGATGTCCTCCCGGGGGTGGCTTCTGGGTGCGCTCCTACTTTTGACCCTGGCAACGGCGTCTGTGGCAAGGCCATCGTTGAGAAATGCTGAAGAGGTTGAGACAACGATTGAACCTGAAGGTAAGGAGGAATATGAGTGACGGAAGACGTGTACCATACAATGATCATTCCGAGCAGGGGAAATCTCAATACTTGATTGTTGACAAGAAAACAGATGCTGCTTAATCGCTATAAAAACAATCACCTTCTCCTACACAGCTGCACCTATGTGTGAAAATATTTTGTTTTTATTGGGGAAGTCTTGGGAAAATTAGGCATTTGGGTGAAACAAAACATTACAGAGAGGAATTTCTTGTGGTAATAGGTAGGATTCCTTATTGCTTTATAGATCATTAGTTAGTGCAGATTTATGAGATTTAGCTTTTCATAAGCCGTTGTGTTCAGCCCTTAAAGACAGCCAGGAAAGTTCTGAGGAGGTGCTGGTTTGCAGTGAAGTGTGGTTTGGAGGTTTTATGAGTTGCTGTATGCAAACCCTAGGAAGTACTTCTTTTGCATGGAGCACATCTTTGAAACGCTGATAATTATGTGGAGAAAGTGGTTTAAGCATATATCTGGCATCTTTGAACTGCGAACCCTGAGGTTTTATAATGCATGGAATTATTTTTCGTATGGTATATATATTCACAACAGCTCGTTCCAAAGAGTCGCTTTTAGGATTTTTGTGGTTCCAATCGCAACATCTTTTTTCCTTTTTCCCCCCATATTTTCTCTTTCTCCATCTGTCTGAGTTTAATGTTGTTCAGAGTTGAGGACCACACACATACCTGCTAGCTAGCTTGGCATGCAGACGCAAACCAACCCGTATTAGTTTGTTTGGGAAGAAAATAAACCGTACTTGTTTTCAGATTTGAACTAAAATGAAACAAGAGATTCACTCTTTTTGGAGGTTTCCTGACTTCCTTTTAACGGGATGTGGTTTGTAATCATCTTCATTCCTAAATCAGAGTACAAACAGTGATTTTATTTGGGTATTTGGCACTTTCTGACACAGTGGCGTATCTTGGACCAATTTTGCCACATTGCCATTAGTAGTTGTGATTATTGATGTGATTGTCCTGTTTTTGCTGCTATGGCCCAAGTGGCCTGTTAAGTTTAAGGCAGCAGGTAATGGGAACTGTTGTGTTGGATAAGTCTGCTTTTGTTCTTCTAGCTTTAATCACTATGTTAATTAAAAAGTTGTCAAACACAATCACTCGAAGCAACCACCCCACCCCCCAACTAACACTGTCCAGATACCCTTTGACCTCAGGCTTAAAAGAGGTTCATACATGCCCACAATAGGATTAAAGGGAAAGTTCATCCTAAAATAAGATCCTGTCTTTATTTACTCACCCTCATCTCATTCCAAACACGTATGCCTTTCTGTCTGCTTGGAATACAAAGCAAGATATTTTTTTTTTTTAATCTCAGCTTTTTCCCACTCAATGGAAGCATATTGTTATCAATGGCTTTTGAGACCATTATTGGACCTAAAAGAGCAAAAACGCTCCAAAAGTAGTCCACACAACTATATTTTAAGTCTTTTTATGTGGATTTGTGTGAGAAACTAGAAACAGTGTTTAAATTGTTATTCAATGGGATATTGTAAAGGAGTTGTATGGACTACTTTTATGTCCTTGAAACCCTTTTTATTCTTCCGTTGTGTGGAAAAGAGCAGCTTGGAAATGCTTGAAAATATCTTGCTTTCAAGTCAAGTCAAATTTTTGGATGGACTGTTCCTTTAAGAGTTCCTCGCTTAACGTCTTAAATGCAAAATAATTCTGTTGCACAATATTGCATTGCATTGTTCTGTCAGTTATCTTTTGTCCAAAGTCAGATGCTTAACATTTCATCTAGCACTAAGTGCTCTATGTTGTGGAACTTTGTAAGACGATTTGCACTTTTCTCTCCTATCATATGATGGAAGATTATGGGAGGTCATGTGACGGAGGATTAAGTGGCTCAAGTGGAGTCATGTGATGAGGATAGGCTCGGAGGTTTTGGTGAAAGGTGGAGAGCGCTAGCCACACCAGTTTCATGTTGTACAGATGCAACTCAAGTAGTTGAGCGCTTACGGGGGGTTGTGCTAAACATGTTTACTCTTTTTTTTTTTTTTTTTTTTTTTACCAAAGAACAGTATATCTATCAATTCGACAAAAAAAGCCTGCCATTAAACGCCCACTCCCGGAGGGAAACTACAACAGCCCCCACTTGATGCATGCAAAGCCCACCAAGGGCTTGGTTGTGTTTCTGGGAGGGGTTATTGTTTAAGATAGCATATCAGTTTAGAATTCCTAAAGAGTTTCACATGAGCTAGTTTTTCTGTTAAGGGAGAGAGTTATATGATAGAAATATTATATTACCTTCCTGAATCAGCAGTGTTGCTTACTTAGTTTTATTTGGAACAGGCATTGCTTCTCTTTAGACGTGATAAAGGCTGGGAGAGTGGTTGAAATCTTCTGAGTGGTTGGAAAACAACACGTTGTGAAAGTGTGGGAAAGCAAACTTGGATCAAATGTAATCTGACAGGGCTTAGAGCACAATAGAGTTGAAGATCTTCGCCCTTTTTTCTCTCATTCCCTGCCGCCCCATAAGGTTTGTGGTTGGAACCAGAGGTATGGCCAAGCTGGCCCAATGGTGGAAAATGTGGAATCGCACACACTTGGTTCGGATCATTGTTATTTGGATTGTGTGATTTATTTATTGTCATTGGAGTGGTTCTGCTGGTGTTTAGTGTGCGTGTGTGCCCTGTTGGTTTGGACAGAATTAGACACAGTCAAACGGGGCTTTGATGATGTTTCAAACATTGGCTGGAGATCCAAGCGAATCTTTTCCGGCCATCACTCTTTTTTTCTGGAATCGAAATCGTCCCCTTTCCTTGCTCTCTGAGTTTTTAGCCCGAGGGTTCTTCTCTCGCAACCCAGACGTTCCTGTTCACAACGAGAATACCCAAACCCGTAACGCCAGAACTGTGAGAGATGCTCAGCCTGTCGCTCAATCTGGGTAAGCGTGACTTAAAGTGTCCACCTGCATTCAGTAGGGGGTTTCCTAGGCGAATCCTTCTCTGTTTATACTAAACGTTCCTAAATCATGATTGCAAGTCCCTGTAATAAAAGTGTCAGCTCACACCCTTTGTTTATTGTGTTTTCGTGGGCGACTAAAGCCTCACTCTCCCACTAAACAAACTAAAAGTATTTTTTTGTGTGTGGCAATTGGCTGTCGCAGTGTTTTTTGTTGTATATATGTAATTTAGATATACGTTTATATGTTTTTTTTGTTACTTTTTCCTATTTATTTCCCTTGCAAAACTTTCCCCCTCTTTAGTCATTACTATGTGGTTGCTAAAAGTGTTCAAACTGGTTATTAGCACATTATTAGGTGGTTGCTTGAGTGTTTTGGGTGCAATGAAAAAAACAAAACGTTGGATTAAACTTAAAAAATAATAATAAAGCAACTGGGTGCAAAGCATTTTTGAGTTTTCTCTTCAGTAGTTGTATTTGTGCCAACCAATTTTTGAAAGTTCATCCAAATTAAAATTTTAGCAAGTACCCTAAGTACTTTAAGTGGATTTATTTAATTGGAATCTACTAAAAAACAATGTCTTAATATAAAACTGGCCCTATATATAATGTAAGTCTTTTTTTTGTTGTTGCCCATTTTATTTACTTACATCCCTTACTAGCACTAACTAGCACACCTCTCCTCGAGAAGCTGCATGATTTGATGCATAATTCATAGCACATAGCAGAAATAGTAAAAAAAAACAAGTTTAAAGTAATCCACCACCGAACTCCAGTGTTTATGTGTGACTCCAGAGGTTTTGGAGGGAAAGTTGGCTAATGAGATTTGCCCGGATGCTTGTGTGTCGATCTGTTGCCGTGGGCACCCCTGAGAGGCCTGTGCTTTTGGCTGGGCATGCCATTGTCATGACAATAAAGCTTGCAGAAATTACAATTTGAAAGGCGATTGTGATTAGTAAAGAAAAGGAGCGGCTACGGAAGAGTGTTGGGATTTAACTGGAGTAGAAAACGGGAAGGGATGAGAAAATAAGGAAGGAGGGGAACGTGAAAGGAGAACAGGACGAATGCACAGCTTGTGTAGATTGAACTTGTGTGGGGCGGGTGGGTTGTCTTCTGAACCCCTGTGATCTAATCTAATAAACAGTGTTTGCTAAGGAAAACTTCACGATTACTGTTTAAACAGTTCCCATAATAACTACTAAACTCGTCCCACACCTTTTGTCCTATAGAGAATGTGAAATGTGTGCTTATTGGGGACAGGTGCGATTACTCTTTGAAGGAGGGTACTGAGGCATAACTAGGGACCAGAATGTCATCAAGACTTGAGCGTGACTTTGGCCAGTAAGCAACCACTTAGCAACACCATTGATTTTAAGTAATGCTTGTTAATTCAAAATAATGAATAAATCACTAGATTAAGATTTTGGCCATAAGATTAATGGAAATAATTTTGATATGTGATGTTTTGATTCAAGTTTAAGAATTAGGCATTATTATGGAATTACATTTGGCATCAACATTTCTACTAGTTCCATCATGAACACATAGATGTTTGAAATAGGGTGTATGCTTCTGTTATCAGAGAGCCATTTCATCATTGTCTCGTCTCAGGCGCATCTCATCCAACTGACCCCGAGCTAGATAAAAAAATCGCCATCTCGATTCAAACACCCATACGGTCTCATTCCTAAATCACAACGATTCGGCCATGTCCATTAAACCTTGGACAAAATTATACAGGAAAATTCAAATATGTGTTTGCGCTGCCGCTGATCCAGAGAGAGCAGTTAGGTTTACTAGGTATGAAACAGCTTCACAAACAGTCTTTTCATCATACAGTATTGTTATTTCCGTGTTACAAATATTTAAATTATCACAGAAGTACTGGGATTAAAATTTATAGTTGGGATATAAACACTGATGTCTAAGGAAGCGCTCAAGAGCAAATCACCTTTTGAAAGTAACTTGGCGCTTCAAATAAAGATTGTATCGATTATATCATTACACCAGTAGGTGGCGACAAGTTACTGTTAAAAATGTATTTGTCATTGAATTTCAAAAGATTCGTTCAAAAACACCGATTCATCCAGTATGAAACAAGTTGAGTCTTTATGAGTGAGTCATTGAATCATTCATTCAACCGATTTAAAAAAAAAAAATTCATTCAAAGTAATTAAAGCTGCTGTCCGTAGCTTTTTTTGGGTTAAAAATTATCCAAAATACATATTTGATAAAATACATAACCAGACAGTGTTCAAAACTATCTGCTTGCCTTAGCTCGATGCAAAACGGTAAGCTTGTAATAATGTTTTTAATTTTAGTGGTACTGGTGGATTTCCGCGGGAGATTCGAGCATGTCTTTGCGTCATTACGTCACATCTGTACACATAAAGAAGGAGTCTCGGCTAGTATAAGCTATATTGCGTGTGAGGATGTTGGAGGTAGAGATTTATAGCCTTTTCTCACAGCACTTGATATAATTAAACTTATCAATTTGATGGCGGATCCAGAAAGGTTCAAACGACGATCATCATCAGTGACAACAGACTCACCCGCTGTAAAATGCAAAAGACTTCGTTCGGACTTCGGAGTGGCTACAGAAAAAAAGAGACTGCAACCGGACCCATGCGAAAACAAGGATAATATCGGAAGGACATTACATGATGTAGTCACGCAATGCTTGCTGACGTTGTTAACATTAACAATTAGAGAACATAGTATAGCTACTTTGCACGGTTTTGCGTGAAATGATAACTTATAAGCAATTGTTAGATTTAATCAGCGCGATTTACTGCAATGTCAGAACCAGAACAAAAGTGAATGTTTCTTACTAGTTCAGATGACATTTCCCGGTGAAAATTCTTATGTTGGTCATACTTCCAAAAAGAATAATCTGTGATTCTGAATGCCAGTATCCACATCGGCGCGGTGACTGACAGCCGCACAGTCTCCTCAAACACTGGGTTCATCCGCGCTGTGCCGTGTCGAGGGTGTTGAACTACAACCCACGTAAAGTTGATAATTCCGCGAATGACTGCAATTGCAGATTTCGAACAGAGATGGCGACAAAGAGGAAAAATGCCGGACTGCAGCTTTAAGCATTTTGAACAGACTGCAGCATTTAACATGTTGTCAGAACCTCTAATAAATTACATGTTAGCCTATTTTGTTTAGTTGTCTGTTCAGAATAGTGGGAGAATCGTGATCTCTATTTAAAAAAAAAAAAAAAAAAAATTCATGATTTTCAATTTATCCAGAATCGTGCAGCTCTACCCGAGCTCTCAGCGAGGCGCACGGTGGTCTCGATTCCATGTCGCCAAGCAGGCAGAGACAGAAGGATGATAGTGTGAGAATTGGACAGACTGGATCCTGTCACAGTTTGTTCGAGAGCCTAATTATCTGTTCTAGCAGAGGCGAAAATAAGACTTGGTGGAGCGTACGGGAAGTGCGAGACGGTCCGTGTCCGTCACTCCTGACGGGACTTTTGATAATAACCACCACTCACGACACTCTCTTCAGAAGTAAACACAGGAGAACAGATAGTCACACCTCGAGAAATTGAGTTTGCAAGTGTGTTTTACCTCAGTCACGTATTATTTCTGTTTAGGCACACAAGTAAAAGACTACGTTTACTGTGGCAGAGTCGGATGTTTCTCTGACCTTTCCCAAGAAGAAAAATCTGGAATTTGCAGGATGTCAACAGGTTGTGGATTTGTGGAGGGTCTGTGTCTTGTGGACAGCAGGGGGTCGGTTGGCAGGGTGAGAGGTGAAAGGTCAAAGAGCAAATAAGAGGAGCAGGAGGTACTGTTGATGGTAAAGAACAGATGTACTGGACCTGAAGAATAAAGAGAATGAAAGCATGTCAAATGTTTAAAGACGTCGAGGTTGCATCTTACTAAGTTCCTGACTTGCCAGAACGGACAAAATTTATTGTAGTGCCGTGAGAAAAGTTTTCTTAACCTTTGAGTTATAAAGCTATTTTTTTTTTCTCTCCGTGTTGTAAGTGTCCATGAAGCTGATCATTTGATCAACTAAAACAGGTTCAAATTGGCTGGTATGTTGCCGGTAAAGCATGGCGTTGTACTTTGAGTACAATGGATGCCGCAATGAAAGTGTATGATAAGTAATAATTTGGATGTGTTGGAGAGCTCTTTTGTCTCCTGTTTTGCTTATTTCTGCATGGCTTTTTTCCACTTTCAGCATGCACAGCTTAATCTTTTGCACTCCTTTATCGGTAGTATCTGTTCAAAACCCATTAGCATCTTATCTGCTCTCTATTTATAATCTAAAAGTTTAGTGAGACTTGAATGTCCACCCACCGGTCATTCTACAGTTTCCTAAGAGTGTATGTAAAAAATGTAATAAAGATCCACATGTGTTGGCTATATAACAGGACTTGAGCGGGAGCAGGCCTAGTTTTTTCAGGTTGCCTTTAATCGTACAATAGAGGGAAATACGCAACCAATTACAGTTAAATAACAGTTGGACAAACAGAGGCCTCCGGAAGAGCAAGGCAATGAATACCGGTCCCATCAATCAACAGCAGAGTTCGTTCTAAGGCTGCACAGTCGCGAAAGGCATAAAGGAAAAGGTAATTGTTTCCGGAGTAGCGAAAAAAAGGAACAATACAGGAACTATACGTGTGTAGGGCAATGTGCCTGCGAGAGTTTAGACCTTCAAGCACACTCCAACCCCCTTGAGGACTGAGCGCAAGTCATATGACTTTCCCTTCCTGTGGTGTGTAGTTCAATCCGTGGTACACACAGTCACAATAAGACAAGAATGTGCTGGAAGATAGGTGTGTTACTACGGCAAAGGTTGGGAGTGTCTCTGCCCTTCTAATTATGTCTGATTCTTGACAAGTCTGACCATGTTTTTCCATACCTCTCACTTTCAATGTTTATGTCTTTTTGTACATGTATAAAGCTGTTTAGTCTGTCTTAATTCATAGTTTCCGCTCAGATGCAATAGGTTATTGTTAGTGCTGTAGAAACATGAGATCTCCTTCATACAGGGTCAGAAGCTTCCAGAATCAGAGACAATGCATTTGCATTCACGTTTTGCTATCACAGAAGTGGATCATGGTGTACTGGCCAAATTATTGGACAATTAGTCTGGGGATTCGCTGAACGTGTTCGCCAGTGCGAGATTGTGATTGAGCTGCATTTCTGTGGTCTGGGTTTAATCATCCAGCTATGTTAATTGCACAGAAATGTAATATCTGTGTTGCTCGGACTGTTTCACACAGATTGTATAGTTCGCTTCTATACTAGAACGTGTTGATGGCTTTAGTTTGAAGAAGAAAGTTTGAGTGTGCAACAACATCAAGGCATCTTTAATGATTACTATGTAGTGTGCAGTGTTAATCGTTGTTTATCATTCCACCCAAAAGATCAAGTGAATTGCACGGATAAAATATCTTTCCTGAATTCCTCTCTCTCTACTGCTCATTCTGACTTTCTGATTGAGTGTTTGATTTCTGTTCGTCTTGGCTTTGCTCTCAATGGAATCTCAGGTGAATTGAAATGGATATAGATGGTATGTTTTGCTGGAACTAACTAGTGGTCAACCAATATGGGTTTTATAATTTACCACACACACACATATAGAGAGAGAATAATGTAATAAACCGGCAATAATGGCTTAATTCTAATGTGTGAGGTCGGGGTTGAAATGACAGGGAAAGAAAAACCCAAGTCTCTGTTTATGAAATGAACAAATATTGAGTCCTATTTCTCAACTGGCACCTCTTTCATGTCAACGCACTGCTAATGCCACACTCTTTCCCACTGGTACAGCTGCATGCTTCCAGAAACGCTCTATGTACACAGTTCACAGCTAATGGGACACTCTGGGGTGTCTTTATTTGGGATAGACTTATACTTTTGGGTGAGCTATTATATAATTGATGATCTGAAGCCTGCTTTTCACACTCTCTCTAGTCACTCTAGGGATGTTATTTTGGTGACGTGTTTTTCGTCTCACACTCTTGCTCTTTGTCTTTGTCTTTCTCTGTGCACCCTATCACCCCTTTCCTCCTGCCCTCCTCTCTTTTCCTCTTCGCTCTGCAGAGCCTCCAACCAAAAACCAAAACTCTAAGCCCACCCTGTGCTCGGTGCACCCGGGTGAACTGCTCAAGCTCAACTGCCCGCTGACCGAGGCGGCCGCCATCATCTGGACCAAAGACGGCTCCTCGCTGGGCCCTGACAACCGCACGCTCATAGATCAGGAGTGGCTACAGATCCGCGACGCCACCCCTAAGGACTCGGGCCTGTATGCGTGCAGTGTCGCGGGCTCAAAGGCCAGCGACGCGCTTTGCTTCATCGTAAACGTTACAGGTGAGGCGCTTGTCTACCACAGGGGGCGCCATCTGCAGAATAAGACTTTTTATATTCGCAGATGAGTTTTCGTACGCTGTCTCTGCCTCAAATTGAATGGCGCTATAAAAGACTTTGCACGTCCTTTGCACGTTTCGGATTTGTATGTATTGTTTTTACGACATTCATTGGCTCTGTAAAATTGAGTATTAAGAACTTATTGGTTGAAATGCCTGTTGTTTGCTTTTGTGTTACTCCTTTTGTTGTTGTGTTATACAAACATTTTGTCTGTTTTAACACGTCACATTACATGTTTGAATGTTACGTCTTTTTGACAGTTTGCCAGCTAGCATTCATATCAGCTCTGATCACAATCGTATCTCACAGTAACATTTTAAAATCCTTCTGAAATTTCAACAAAATATTTTTTTTATTTAACGGAAACTCAATTTCATATATATACTGTATATAAGATATTGCGTATCAGTTGACTGCAAACTGCCGTGTTCAACGCTGTAGTTACTATTGGTGTGTCTCATTTCGATTTATATTACAAAGAAATAAAAGTAGAGTAATTTACACCTCACAAGTCAATTTTATAGTGGTTACTTATCTGAAATGAGACATCATTAACTTATCTGGCCAACAAATGTGAACTTTGGAGGCCACAGACTTTGAAATGAGACAGATTATATTAATGTGTCAAAAATAGCTAATAATTAGCATTGATGTGAGGGTGTTGTGACGACAGGGGAAACAAAGCTAGGTTACAGTATTCCCGGTACTCTCTGCAGATGCCATCTCATCCGGTGACGATGAGGACGACACGGAGCGATCGGACGATGTTGGGGCGGACGGCGAACAAATGCGTGAGTATCGGGACTGAGGGCCAATCACCAGTTGCCAAAAAGTACTATGTGAAATGCACTTTTATTTCCAATGATTTGATTAGAGAAAATAAAAAAGTGCTAGCTGTAGATGCAACACGTTTGGCGTATTGTTTTTTTCTAATTAATGAAGGTATTCGTTTTTTGCTACATTCACTGAGGCAGACTGCAGCGGAGTCTGATGTTAACTATGTCATCAAGCAATTTCAGCACAGACACATTCCCAGAATTCCAGGCCCTCTTTCCTTCTTCCTTTGTGTCTTTGTGCCCTCCCCTTCTCAGGTAGCTAGTCCATCAGGGGCCTGTCTGTAATTTAACTGCTAAGAGATGTGTTTTGGACTGGGCTCCACTTGGGAGAATGGGAAAATGGAAAGACCTGAGGTAGTTTAGACAAAGGAGAAATTTCAAAGATGTTAAAAGCCTTGTTAACCAATAGAGTGCTACAAGGAATATTGTTTTTTTTGGAGCCTAAATACAATCTCCAGAAGTAAAGTTAGGCACCTAATCACACAAACTACTATAATCACAAGGCTGACTATTGAGTAGATGAGTTTACTTGTTACTTGATGACGTTTAATGTCCCCAACGACTTATGTAGTCCCATCACAACAACCTTTTTTAACGACACGTCGTAAAAGCTTAAAAAAAAGAGTGGGATATTGCTGAGACCTTATTTCAGGCCCAAACCCATTGAAATAACCCATTGACCTTGAAGTTAAAAAATGCTAATTAATTTCTCGTTTTTTGTCATGGTTATCTTCATATATTTTGAGAACCTTATGCAAAGGAGAAGTTGTGACAGGTGAGGAAAGGAAATTGACTACATTTCCACTGTTGAAACGAGTGGCATACCCAACAAAATCTGTTTTGAGTTGTGCAAACCTAAATATTAAAGAGGGTTGTTGGAAAGAGGGGTGGAGCGAGGTCTTTCAGCTAATGGGCTCTGGTTTGGATCTGCACCAACACTTTTCTGTGTAAGCTTTGGAGGTCTGGCCTTTGGCCGCGTACGAGTGGAGTTGAGGTGGGTGTGTTGGGGGATTGGGGTTGGGATAGAGGGGTGTTTAGCATTGTGCTTGGGGCGGTTTCGGGCTCAGTGGGTTGGATTTATGCCCAGCTGAACCACTCAGAACTCTTTGATATTTCTTTGCAACGGGGCCTCAACAACAGCAGTCTCAAAAACACCAATTTTTTCCCCCTCTCACAAGAAAGTTTCCTTTATTTGTGAGATGTGTGGCTCTCAGACAATGTGTGCTGGAGTAGACAACACTGGGATTGTTTAAAAACGAAATGTTTTTTCTTTCTCTGCTTAGTTTGATGGAATTAGCTGCTGGGATGTCTCAAAGTTTCAGTTTACTGACTGATCTTTGCAGATAACGGTGGTATTTGTTGATAGTCCCTTCCAGATTCCAAGAGTTTTTGAAGAAAAATGTCAATAAAGGTTCAGTGGTCAGTCCATCTGTCACTGGAGGTCACCTGTCTTGGGGCTTCCGAGGACATCCGACCCTTCCACCCCAATGTCTGAGGGTCATTCTCATCTTCAAACCTGAACCGTTAACAAAGTTAAAAGGAGTCAGGCTTACAGATATGTAGTCTGCTGTCCGTCAGGGCGCCGAGGTCAAAGATAATGACCGTTACGAAAGAATTCCCACGAGATGAGATGAAAAAGTTGGGTGGCGAGGAAAGAAAACAGACGGAGGGATAGACGTTGAGTGGCTAAAAACCAATTAGCGTGCCTTCGTGCTGAAGGGAAAGATGTCTGTTTACACGTCTCATATCAAGTCGTTTGCAACCTTCCGGTTGGCATGTCTGTCGAACAAAAGAAATTGGATGTGATGGTCCAGTTCCTTCTTGGCAAGCCGCTGTGTTTTTGGACCGACTTGTTTTATCCTCCTTTTCTCCTGTGTATTTCCAGAGCGAACGGGAATATGTTTTTATTTAAGCCGCTCACTGAGAGTTGCAGGGTTCCCTTAAGCAGATGGGCGGTGCAGTCATGCAGTGCTGCGAGTGTGAATAACTGTTACGATTTACATCCGTGGTCATGGCTTCCTGTTTCCCCTTGCTGAGTTTCAGGCGCCTCCTGCTTTCTCTCTCTCTTGGCAATGATGTAGTTCTGTTGGGTTATTTAGGTTGGATCAAAATGAATTTTGATTGTTTTACTTTATTGATTTGCCATGTCAGTGTTATTTGGTATTATTTATAGCATTTATTAATATTTCGAATACATTTTTGTTTATTTTATGTTTTAGTAATTTTGGTTAGCTCTTTTTTAAATTTTTATTAGTTTTTTTCAAATCATTTTTAGTTAGCTTTAATTGATTAATTAATTAATTTGTTGTTTTAGTACTTTCGATTTCAATTTATTTTATTTCAGTTTCAAATTGTTTTATTTAAAAGTTTTTCATTTATTTATAACATTTAATACCATATTTTTTTTATTTATTGATTTTTTTTTACATTTAATATTTTTTATTTTATTTCAACGTTATTTCGATTAACGTAATTTTTTAATAGTTTTAGACTTTTAGTTAATAATAACAAAACTGCATTAAATGCACAGGCACATAAACAGCAAAAAATAATTTACATGTGACACAAATGCTTTGTCAGCGCATTACAAGTGCGATTTGAACAACAATCACAGTAAAATAATTGTAATATTTTTAAAATAAATAAATCGCTGCCTTTTTTGGTTTAACAGTCCCACACGGTCATATTGCAATTTTGATTTGATATTGATTCATTGTAAGGCCCTAATGCTGATCTTCAGAACTCCAGAATGCTAAAAACAAACTAATGTCTTCTTCAGTCAACCATATAAGCCAAAAGCTACTGTTTTTGGCTTTGATCTTGAGTTTTTCCATAAACATAGATATAGAAAACACTGTAGATGTCAGGGGCTGATGTATGAACTGCTGAACGCAGATAAGAGAGGGGGTGTAGATAATAAAAACCTCCAGTTTGCACGGAGGTTTTATGTGATGCATAATCAAAGCTGCATGTAATCTTAAAGGCTTAGACACTGACATCAAAGAAAATATAGAGTGCACTACAAGCGTGATATTTGAATGAGATTAATGGTTGGTTGTAATTGCTCCTTCTTGCCTGCAGGGGCACCATTTTGGACCTTTCCGGAGAAGATGGAGAAGAAGCTGCACGCCGTCCCGGCTGCCAACACTGTGAAGTTTCGGTGCGCGGCAGCAGGAAACCCCAAGCCCAAAATGCGCTGGCTGAAAAACGCAAAACCCTTCAGACAGGAGGATCGCATGGGCGGCTACAAGGTGAGAGATCTTCACTAGTGCTATATGAGAATTGGAACTCATTGCATGGTCTTCGACATATGCATTTATTAAGGCTTAAATACTAGTGCTTTTAGAAATAGGTACCCTTTTTGTACAGGCAGATTTGCATGAGTCAGAATTGTTAGTGTAAAACAGTTGGTGAAGCACTGACTCTTGGTTAAAGTGTAATAGATGTGTGGGGCGATTGGCCGATGTACCCCGATCAGTGTCTGTTTGCACTTTCGTCTCTGAAAACACAGCTGTTCCACACAGAAGGTCACTAATGATTGAGCTGCTCACGCTCGATTGATCTGAAGACTCAGATATGAGCTCAGTGTCTGACTATAGGACCATGAGCTGGTTCATTCGATAATCCAGACTTGTATTACCTTTTAAAAATGAATATCTTAAATATGAATTATTTTTAATAACAATAATAACTTTCAAAATATATGCTTTGTAAACATTGGAAAAATTCATTATACAAAAAAAATCTTCATGAAAAAAAGTCACCACCCTTCACCTAGACTACAGTTTTACTGTAAAAAAAAAAAAATGTTCACACTTGGCTTCTTTGGTTCGATTAAACCGTACTCTAGTGTGATTGCTCTCTTAGTGTTCTCTTAGGGTTCATTTGATTTTGTGTGAACGCTGCCAATCCGAAGCCTAGTGCGCACCAAACAAGCAGACGAGACCGCTGAAAAGATTGATCTCTGTCCGCTTCCAAACAAACTCTGGTGCAGCTACGCACATACAACGAGCACATTTAGCCCTGAACACAGCATTGTTTTGGATGTTTGGTAAGTTATCGAAATATAAGTCATAAATGCCAACCAATCAGGTTGTGAACGTATCCTATGCCTTTAGGTTACCGAACCTTATTACGAATTTTTAGGTTCGGTGTTAAAAATGCCAATTTGAACGCTAAGCGGACCAGGACTAAATGTTTTTGTTTTGTTTTGACCAAGCCAACCAAACTACAAGTGTGAACTCACCCTAAGATATCAAATGTTTCATAAAATAAATGAATCATTGGATAATGTACATAAACTAGTCCCTGAGATAAATGAACCCTTATTTTGCCATCATTTGTTGGGTCTCAAAAGGCCTAGGGTTCGGGCAGAGTTGTGGAGTGAAAGTCTCCATGGAAGAGACGCTGGATTTTGTGGCCTGCAGTCACGAGAGCTGAATTCCTGAGGGGGGGGCGGGAGCTCGCTCGTCTGTCGGCACGGCGATATTACTTTTCCCATGGTGCTCTCGCTCGAAGAACCCTCGTCTTCTGGGCCAATTTCTCTCTCTCCTGTTTGTTCCGTCAGTGCTGCTGTCAGATTTGCCCTCCATTTTGTAAGTCGTCACACACAGGTGTGAAATTGAGGATAATAGGTGCTGAATCAAGCTTGGAGTTTCGTTTGAGATGAATTCGATTCGAGAATATATAAAAAAAAAACACACAACTGTGTGTCTGGCAGATAATGCACCCAAATACGATCTACTTAAACAAGTCACTTAACTGTTCTGAAGGTGTCCTGTTGTACTATGCAGGAAGTTTGTTTTTGATTATTCCTTTTCCCTGTTCAGGTCCGGCTCCAGCACTGGACTCTAATCATGGAGAGTGTCGTTCCCTCTGATAAAGGAAACTACACCTGCCTGGTGGAGAACGCCTATGGGTCCATCAATCACACCTACACGCTGGATGTAGTAGGTGAGTCTTGTTTACAGACATGTGTGTTGACCATTTTTTTCTCAGCAGGCCTCTTTGGATACTGGTAAACAGGGCATGTAAGGAATCTTCGGCTCGGTTTACACCTGGTATTAAGATGCGTTTTGGTCGATCGGATCACAAGTGGACGAGGGAGACACATTCCCGTTTCCACCTGGTGTTTTAATCTGTCTCATTTGTCCACTTTCAATCATTTCTTCGAGGGGAGGGTCTATGGGCGGGTAAATGCATGAACTTTTTCAGATCTTTCGATCTAATGGGCGAAATAAGCTCACGTAATTTACATATGAACGCGCACAATGACGGAAAAACACACGGAGAGCATCAGCTTTCGTTTCTGCTCTGAGAGCCGCAAGTCCAGCCGAACGCTGTGAGTGTGTGTTAGAAATCAGGAATGGTGAGAGAACATTGTGTTTGGTACGTTTTTCGTCTTCAAACCAAACTTGGGTCTCCAGCCGACAAAGTTTAAATCCCTTCTGGCTAGTGCGCTTCCCATAATGTTTACGCTTTAGGTCAGTAGGCGTAGAGTCGGCATCATTTGTGTCTGTTTGAACACATGAGAGTTTAAACTATGAAATCAATCCGGTCGAATGCGTTTTCGACAACCTCTGGAAGCGGTCGAAAGTAGATAAGCTCAAAACATTTTAGACTCTGTTTACTCCTGTATTTAGCGTCATCCACTTGTGATCCGATCGACCAAAACGCATTTTAATACCAGGTGTAAACGGGGCCTCTAATTGGACAACACAGCAAGTAAAGTTAAAAAAGGAGAGGAAAGAGAAGCAATAGTCAAAAAAGAAAATTCTGTCTTGTATGTTTACGATGGCTGCATTTATTTGATCAAAAATGCAGTCAAAAAAACATTGTGAAAAATCTTTTACACAAAGCTGTATTGTGGCTTTAAGAGACTTTCAAATTTACATTTTTGGGGAGAATTGTTCCTATAATTCTTAGCTGTCTGCACTAGTTGTTTGAGTAGACCTGCCATCTCCGACCTCAGAACCAAGCTATATTTTTGCATGCACACACCCATGAGCAGAACGCAGACACGCAAGGACAAAGGCTCACACACACATATATATGCTCCCTATTTAGGGCCCCTGTTCTGGGTTAAGTAAAAGCAGTCTTTCAGAAGGTCTCTGTTTTTCTTTTCTGTTTTATTACAGGGTTGTAAAGCCCTTTTGTGTCTGGCTCAGTCTAATACTCTCATCACAGAGAAAGCAGGAGAGAAAAGAGGCAGAGGAAAGGGATTATGCTGTTTTTCTGTTGTTTTTCACTTTAATGTCAGACTAACCAACCTGGGAAGTAAATGAAAATGACAAGATGAGAAAACGAAGGTTGGGAGAGCGAAAACATTTTCCCTGTGCCGGAATTGGAGTCTCGCTGACCCTTCGAACAGGTCAATGAACGCTGCGCCAGTCTGAACTGGCCTGCATTTCAAAGCTGGACAAAGTACAAAGCGCTGACACTTGAAAGAGCCAAAAAGACACTAATTATTGCCGTTTACGGTGGATGTCAGCCAGATTCCAGCGCAGAAACTTCAACTGTAGATAACTTCCAACAATAGCCCCTCATACTAATTTGTACACATTATGTACTTATTTAAGTTTAGGACTCCCAGTCATCATCCACTGCCACTCATAGCATGTTGGTACTAAAGTTTGGCGGGATATCACAGTCGTATTAACAGTACATGACATGCAGGGGGAAAAATAAATAACTTTCGATTTAGGATTAGTTCCAAGGGGGTAATCCATCGACCGGAAGTTGAAGCCGGCCGGGTGCCGCCATCTTGTAGCAGAACTTCACTTGCGTTAGCATTTCCATTGACTCCCATTCATTTTGGCGTCACTTTGACAGCGAATAACTTTACATCTGAGGCGTTTAAAGACTCCATTTGTCCATTATTTATTTCTAAAGAAACACGACAATGTATAAAGGGCTCCATTACCTTCTATGTTACATTATGGCCCCGTAGAAACAGATTTAGGCAAAATAGGCTAACGATTGCGTCATAACCACTCGACTCTCTGTCGCGCTGTACTGAAATTACCGTACAGACAGGAGGAGAAGCTCGCAGGCAATCGGGGGGACGTCCCGTCAAGGGAGAAGCCCATAGATAATGAGTCCATAAAAGCAACGGAATACTTACTCCTGCTCACTCACACCAAAGAACTCTTTGCTCAAGTTCCTTGTCTCTGCAAGATTAATGTTGGCAATTTTCACGCACAGCTACTAGAAGATTAACGTCTGTCAGACAGGTTGCTCACGTCATCAAGCTTAGTTTGAGTCGGTTTGAGTCTGCGCGTCAGGAACGGAAGTGCTCAAAAATCGCTAAAAATGGGCTTCAACTGAGTTCCAATGAGATGGCTCTGTCCACTTCTTATACTGTCTATGATTAGTTCTCATGGCTAACTAATTAGTTCACTCATTTTAGTTGACAGCGTGTCAAGTGCAAAGAGCCCGCCTTGTTGACAGAGGCTATTTACACTAACTATTATTATTAACTTCATTACTTTGTGCTTTTTGTCTGTCTCGTTAATGTGTAGATCATATAAAGTGGTTCTTTGCACTGATGGCCACGTAAATACATCTGCATTATAAACCATACAGCAAAATCTCTACTGATTGGCATGTTTCAAACCATCCAGACCTAGTAACTCGGTGCATCTCCACCCTGATTTCTCTCTCAGCCAATCACATGCCGCAACCCCTCCCCGCGTATGCTAAGTCAGCAGGTTACCCAGAGTTCAACAGACTCGCTTCGGGATGCCAGATCAGCCTGTAAATGCCTGGCTAATGATGTAATCGATCGATTGTGATTTGGTGGAGAATGCGGGCAAGCGGTTGGCACTTGGCTCAACTTTTGGGCTGACTCAATGGGTTTTTGGAGGAGGATCTGACAACCTGGTTTCTGTTGGGTTTCTGAAAAGCTCCTTGGTTAGGGTGGTGCACAAGTGGCTACTAGCAAGTTTTTTGCTATAACTTAACAACACACAATCAATCTAAAACACTTGCTAGCGACTCCAAATGAAGACTTTCTGTCTGACTTGGATATGTGGTATAGATCTCTGTGTGTGTGAGCAAAGTTTGCCTCTCTAACTTTTTGTTTCTCATCTGTTCTTCTTCATCTGTCTGTCTTTTCTTTTCACTGCCCATCTGTTGGGCATCTTTTATACTCTGCATCCCTTTAACCCCAGCCCTCTCTGTTTTTCTCTTTCTGCTTTGCACCATTGTTTTGAGCTTTTCTTGTGCCCCCTCTTGTGCCCCTCAGTCCTAAATCCTCTTACATCCCCCGTAAACCTTCGCTGCATGTCTGTGAAGGCTGACCTCTCCACATCTCCTGTGTGACATCATGCCTGTGTGTCTGTGTATGTCGGGGTAACCAGGAGACGCGTCAGAATTACAGGGCGAGAGTATTGTTGTGTTGTGAAGACAATGAGGAGTGTTAGTAATGTGGTTTAGTCTGTTTAGTTTCAGATTTTCTTTTTTTTTCTTTGGAAAAAGTGATTCAGTAGGTCCTTACTGTATCCAAAGCAGGATTATTATAGTTAACCAAAACTAAAACCATTTTTGTTACTTGAAATAAAATAAACTTTAACTGAAATAAAATATTAACATAACAATGAAATATAGTTTATTTCAGCTAGTTGCCAAGGAATGACAAAGACACACAACAAAATTACTAAAAGTTACTGAAATGTCTAAAAAAAATACAAATAAAAACTTCTAACAAAAAGTTTGTACATACATAATATAGTATATACACACACACACACACACACACACACACACACACACACACACACACACACACACACACACACACACACACTCTCTCTGTTGTGTTTCCATATTTCATGGGGACTTTCCATAGACATAATGATTGTTATACTGTACAAACTGTTTAGTCTATCCCCTTAAACTGACCCTACCCCTAAACCCACCCATCACAGGAAACTTTCTGCATTTTTACCTTTTCAAAAAACATCACTTTGTATGATTTATAAGCTGTTTTCCTCATGGGGACCAAAAAACATCTCCACAAGGACAAGGAAAAGTGAGTGTCCTATTAATAGAAAACCTCACTACCAAGTGTTTTAACTAATTTAATTTTAAGTTTAGTTTACTCATCATTGTAACCTTTTGGGAAACAAAAATCATATCTGATCATATCTCAGTGGAAAAAGGAATGAAATGACAAACGAGGATGTTCCTGATACACCCGGAACCGCAGCTGATATACGGTGGACACTGGACATCTGTCTTATTTTCCCCCCACTTTGCCTTTCTTCATCTGTGTTTGCTCAGTCCTTATCTGCTGAGATAATGCAACAGCCTCTGTTTTGTGAAGTCTTAACAGCAGCCTGATAGGACAGTAGGTGTGGTGATCTGAATGACAAACGTTCACGTATACCTTCAATGTCTTTTTTGCAACCACTGACTGATTTTTAATAAAAGTTTAGAACAAAAGATGAATATAAATATGTTCTGTTCCAAAAGCGTGCAAGGTTCCTAACTAGACATGGGAATTGAAAGCTGTTTCAAACTTTAGTGAGTAAATATTTTTGGGGGTATTGTGTTTGTTGTGCTGTTGCAAGTTGGCCTTTTTATTGGCCATTCAAAAGTTGGTATCAGTAAGATTTTTTTTTAAACATTTTTTTTTTTTAATTAATACTTTAATTCAGTAAGAATGCATTAAATTGATCAAAAGTGACAGTACTAAAGACATTTATAATAGTGCTGTCAAATCGATTAATTGCATGTAACATAAAAGTTTTTAAATGTATAGTGTGTGTGTGTATATACATATATATATATTCACACACACACACACACACACACACACACACACACACACACACACACACACACACACACACACACACACACATATATTTATACACATATTTACATACAAACTTTTATATTAGATGCGATTAATCGTGATAAATCGATTTAACATTACAAATAAATGCTGTTCTTTTGCACACAATTATTAAGCAGCGAAAATAATCAGTTTCTTCAGCAGCAAATCATCATATTAGAATGATTTCTGAAGGATCATGTGACACTGAAAACTGGAGTAATGATACTGAATATTCAGCTTCGCATCACAGGAATAAATTACAGTTTAAAATATACTGAGATAGAAAACATTTCTTTTAAATTGTAATAATATTTCACAATATTCCTGTTTTTACTGAATGTTTGATCACACAAACACCACCAAGGCTGAGCATAAGAGACTTCTTTTTTTTTTTAAAGAAAAATGTAACTGACCCTAAACTTTTAAACAGTAGCGTACATGGTAAATATTCATATAATAATTCTCATTCTTCTTCCTTTTAATCAGAACGCTCTCCTCACCGGCCCATTCTTCAGGCAGGCCTGCCGGCCAACATCACTGTTCACGTCGGAGGGGAAGCACGGTTCGTCTGTAAAGTTTACAGTGACGCTCAGCCTCACATCCAGTGGCTGAAGCACATTCTGAATAACGGCAGCCGTTACGGTCCCGATGGACTCCCCTATGTCCGGGTGTTAAAGGTAGGCTTGGTTTTCATGTTTAAAAGAATCTGATTTGGCTTTCACTTTTTTCGTTGGAAACAAGAACGCTTTTATTTTCAGATGTTTTGATGCGGCTAATTTCTTTTAAAAAGAATGAGAAGATGCAAAAACGAAAGGCAGATATCCTTGTTTTTTTTACTCATGCCATGTAATGGGTGGTGCTCCCTCCTTTTCCGCTCTCCTATCCTTCCTGAAGAGTACGAGAGATTGTAACAAGCTCCCATATGTGTGTTTTTGTCCCTGTGCGCGGCACCTTCTAGCGCTCGGGCATAAACAGCTCGGACGTGGAAGTGCTCTTGCTCAACAATGTTACAGAAGAGGACTCTGGTGAATATACGTGCCAGGTGTCCAATTATATTGGTCAGGTCAGCCAGTCGGGTTGGCTCACAGTCCTACCAGGTAAAACCAAGACCGAGACGTTGATTCCCCGGCGTCCCTTCCCCCTCTGCTGGTGTTTTGGGTTGTTTTTTTGTCGTCCTGGTGATCCTGGGATTTTCGCTGAGCCGTTGTGGTGTGGTCTGGTGTATTATTTTCCTTTTTTTTTCTTTCTTTTTTTTTTTGGTGGATCTTTCCTGGTGCCATCCAGCCAATCAGACATGGAAACAAGCCTTTGGTCTGTCCTTGCCTCTGCCTTCCTGTTCTGTGTCAATGACATGTCTGTTTTTCCCGTTCCTTTATCACTTTTCTTTAGTTTCTCGCTCTAATGTTTCTTTCCGAAAGGCAGTGGCTTGTTTTCCATGTTTCTTCACTTGAGTTTGCATGGACCCTTGAGGATCTGGTGGGTTCACCTGTGTTGGGTTCAGAGGTTTTCGACCTTCATTTCGATGGTGTTTTTTTCCCCTGCTGTTCATGTTTGATATTCTTCTCTAACAAAGTGGAACATCTACCATTTCTGTAATGCGTAGATGGGAAATACAACATTGAACATCTCCTTTTCTCTTCTTGGTATTTTGGGTCTGATTTGTTTCTTGTCTTCTTTCTTTCCTCCACTTCCATCCTTTCTTGTATCTCCCTTCCATCATCTCCATCTTCCTCTTCTCCTGCGTTTCCTCCTTTGTTTCTCTCAGACGGCAGGTGTGAACACTACGGACAAAGAGATCGAGGTGCTCTACCTGCCTAATGTAACTTTCGAGGATGCGGGCGAGTATACATGCTTGGCGGGTAACTCTATTGGGATCTCCTATCACACTGCTTGGTTGACGGTGCTTCCAGGTATACACTCGTCCTCTACTGCTTCTCACACACTTCTTTTATGTCGATGTTGGTTGATATCGCGCCAACGTTCTTTGAGAGGAAACATGAGGCACTTTGGACGGTGTTACTTTAGTATCGATGTACTATTGTGGTTATTGTTCATATTTTGAATTCTGTTTTCACTTACCCTCTGGAGCTAAAAAAAAAAAATTACATTTATTTTTTTTTAATAGAATTTTTTACTTCATCGGAATTGTACACTTGCTACATGAACACACACAAAAAAAATGTCATGGAAATGATTTAAAAAAGGTTTATTTCTTGCGGTCAAAAATGATTGGGAAACTTATTTCATCTAGTGGAAACTTTTGGTACTGCGCCCAAACAAAATCTTACTGAAAGCTCATTTTTTGAGATATCAAGCTCAAATTTGGAACACAACCAGTTTTTGAGTAAAACTTGTTTTGGAAAATATATATTTCATATAAACATTGAAAATAGTATTTTTGTGCAATTTTCATAACAATAAACGTAAAATTGTATAACTTTTTTTAAGTTCACATTTTGAAATATTTTTCACTTCAGCAATAATTTGCCAAGTGTCGTCTTTGTAAAGAGACCTAACTTAAGTCTGTTCTCCAAAGCTTTCAAGATTTATCGCATTATTGCACTAAAATAGTACATTCATTTCATTGAAATAAAAAAAAATCATAAATCGATCATTTTTTAACGCCACATGAAGATAATTTTATAATAATTTTAGTTACTTTTAGTAATTTTGTTGTGTTTTTGTCATTATTTTTAAAAAATTGTTTTAGTTATTTTATTACTTCAATTTAAACTAAAAGAAAATGAGAAATGTTGACTATATTTTATATATATATTGTATATATACATTGGTTTCAGTTAAGGTTTATTTTGTTATAAGAGATTATGACAGATTTTTTTATGATTTTAGTTTTAGTTAATGACAATTACCCATTCAGCCATTTTCTACAAATTTTACAATCTTTATTATTGAACGTTTAATTTGTTCAGCATCGTAATTTATTTGGTCATCAAATGTAAGAGATATGAAATAATCTTTTAAAAATATCTAAAACTGCGTCCAAGTGTCTCGAGATCCTTATTTATAAAAATTCTCTTCCCAACTAACATTTCACTGGTTGCATGTCTGGAAAGACTTGTTTTGAAGGAATAGTTCATCTAAAATTAAAATTCTGTCATTATTTACTCTCTTTCATGTTGTTTAATGTATGACTGACTTTCTTCAGTGGAACAAAATAATTTTCCAGATAATGAAAGAATTTGTGCAAGTGTGAATGATAAGAGGGGAATATGTTCTGTATTGAAGAAAGAGTCAAAAAACACATGAAACTGTTAATGATGATAAAATGTTGATTTTTAGGTGGTCTATTCTTATGTTTCGAAGTCTTTTTCTATTTCAGCTCTAATAACTGCTTTGCTCTCTAAAGAAAGTCTCAATATTTGCTTGCCTTCTCAAATGCTGGACTTTCTTAGTTATTAGAGCCACTTACAACCACAGTGTGTGTGTGTGTGTGTGTGTGTGTGTGTGTGTCTTTGAGTGTGTATCTAAATGTGACGGACTCTAGATAATTTACATGTCCACACATTTTGGGCAGGTTTAACTAAATATTAGTGAACTGTTTCTTAGTTTTAGAAACACAAGGGCTATCGGTCGTCATGTGCAAGGCAGCGTCAAGTGTGCACGCTAACATGCATAATGCAACAGCGTTGCATTTTATTAAGAGTCCATTTCCTGACAAGGAAACAGACAAAATCTTTGACCGCAAATGGCACCACTTACTGGTCTGCGGTCAGACAGATAGAAATCTGTGTGTGTGTGTGTGTGTGTGTGTGTGTGCGATTGTATCCATGAAGTGTGTATTTCTAAAGACCTCAAGTGTCAGGAAGTACTTCAATACTGTGGTCATATGCAAACCATTTTGTAAGCATGTGTATGTTCGCAGGGGCCATTGAGTGTCAGGAAATATGCTGTGATGGAAAGAAAGAATCTCTTTAATATCTCCGTTATTAAATGGAGATCTAATTAAGGCTTAGGTCTCAGATTTTTCTCCTAAGACAAGACCATGATCTGAACTGCTGTTCACATTCATTTTATAGCTTTATACTCTTACTGAAGTTGATATTTAAATTAAACGTTTCCTGGACTGAGGTTGAGGAACAGAGTTTCATTTATTAGTTATGTATTGCTACAACCTTGGAAGGAAAGATATTTGTAGACGTTTTTATAGTTAGAGAGTCAGAGAGTGAAAATTGATTGGTGTGTCAAGTGTGTGTGTGTGTGTTGGTTCATCCTGTAATTCCTTAGTCACCTACACCTTTTCCTCTTTTCCCTCTTGCCCTGGACCCTTAATGTCCTTCATAAGCATCTTAAATCTGGGCTGTGTCCAACATTAAGGTTTCTGGTGCAGTTTCCCTCACCTCAGGAGTGCCTTAAATCCTTTTTGGTTTGTTGCCTCACGTCTCAGTCCGATTCTCTCCGATCCTTCTCGCTACTCTACAGCCGAGCCAGACGCCATCGAGACGGACTACCCTCCTGACTATGTGGAGATCGCCATCTACTGCATAGGCGTCTTTCTCATCGCCTGTATGGTGGTGATCGTGGTGGTTTGCCGAATGAGGACGTCGGCTAAGAAGCCTGATTTCGGGAGTCAGCCGGCGGTGCACAAGCTGACCAAACAGATCCCTCTGCGCCGCCAGGTAACAGAAAGTAGATAAAGAGTTCTAGAAATCTTATACACACATACACTCACACTAATATAAGAATGATTTGTCTTTGGAATATGTAGTTAGTTGGTTTTGTAAGGGCAGGTTTATGTTTAGTGATTCGAACCAACCTCTTATTTGACTTACTTTACTTTACTTGTTTATTTTCACAGGGACAATAGACAATTAAGAGTAATTGCACACATTTTAAAGTACACTCTCAGAAAAAAATGGGGTTAAATGGGATTCTATATAGAACCAAAAAGGTTTCTCTATAAGAAGAAATATCTTAAATGATTGCAAAGTACTCTCATGTTTAATGGGTCCATTTTTTTCTTCTGATAAAGTATGTTTCCAAGCTGCTTAATTCATAAAATGTAATAAAAAAATTAATTAAAACAAAATTAATTTAAAAAAGTCGATAAAATGAAGTCCTCTAAAAGGTTCTATACTGACAGAACCCTTTAAGGTTCTATATAGAACATTTTCTTCTAAGAGTGTATATATATATAATTTACCATGTTAACTTATACATGATATATATCATATTGTATAATTAGATAATTGAAGATGATTATACAAATATTTTTTTTATAATAATAACTTTATATTTATTTTTATGTATATATTTATATTTTAGTTTCATATATATATATATATATATATATAGTGAATGGCAGCGTTATAGTATGCCAGATTAAAAGTTGTTGTTAGTTTAAGTTTAGTACAGTGGTAACTTTGTATGATAACTTAAATGTTGTAAGTTACTGAATAACATGTCAAATTCTTTTGTTGAGAAGTTGAAGGTATTCTATATGGTGGTAAGTTGGAAACATTATTTGAAAAATGAAATTTCTCACATATTTTTTTTACAAATGTATGACATGTTGAGAAACCTAACTGTACAAACTGCATGGCTTTTAGGTAAAGTTATTTGAATAGATATATCGTCAATATCAAATATAAAAATAATATCGTCATAGCCACAGCTTACTATTATGAGGATTTTACATACTATAACGATGATGTTAAGCGGCTAAATGTGTGCGCGCACACACACACACACACACACACACTCACATGTAGGGTTCTGTCTCCAAGACTCAGGTGATCAGCCATCCGTCTTTCCCCTTACAGGTGTCCTCTGACTCCAGCTCCTCCATGAGCTCTAGCACGCCATTGGTCAGAATCACCACTCGCCGTAGCTCCGCCCACGACGACCCCATCCCAGAGTATGACCTCCCTGAGGACCCACGCTGGGAGTTCTCAAGAGACAAGTGAGCATTTACACATTTATTACACTTTTTCACTTATAAATCATTGTGATGTGAAACTAATCTTCTTATACACTCACAATCCCATTATGTCTAATTATTAACCTGTGACTTATGCAGGCACAATGTACAATCGATCATTAATAACACAGCACAGGCCTCCGTCCATTACCCTTATTCCATTATTAGACCATTATTTTTGCAGAAATTTTATTTTGGTAAAATTTTTCTGGAAGATTTAAGCAGCTTTTGGTTTGGATGTTGATATGTCCTGTTATGTTCTGTTATGTTCTGACACTGTGACCCCGATAGCACACACTGACCGTACGACTACACACACAGAACCAGAAAAACTCAGACTCACAGATTAATGTTTAATTGCCATGCTTAATATTTACGAAATGCTTCCGGCATCACTACAATGGGTCCGCTATCATGTTGCCAAAACCTGACAGATTTCTAATGAATGACTAAGAAAGCCTGTTTAAGCAATCTGTCACAAACATGGTGGTTTAAAAGGAGTCTATTTGTACTTTGATTGTCTCAAGGATGATTTGTAAGCAGTTTGAGAGACAGGAAGAGTTTAACATGCTATTATTCAACTCCAAACTATAACCAAGTCTTTTATTTATTAAATTAATGGTGGAAACTCAACAAATACAGGTTGAGTCACTCATTTCTTCTGCAGGATTGTTATGTCCATCATACAGAAGATAAGAGTCCTTTCGTGTACACCGCTAATGCCCGATATTGGTATTCTATAGGTGAAGGGAGGCAACCATTTTATGGACTTTTTTCTTCCCACCCACTAAAGGAATTGTTGCTCCTGGGCAGACAAGCTAAGACATGTACTGAATTTTTGTGAGGAACTCAAGATCTACGAAAGAAAAGATTTGTTAGAAACAATTTTTTAATTTACTTGATATTAGCTGAACTTAGTGTAATCCTTCAATCCGCTCTTAGCACAAACTTTAAGCTATTGAGTTAGTTAACTCATTCAGTTTTTTTCTTCATCCCCGCATGACGTGCCCCGGGGCGCATGGCATGCAGAAAACTGAGGAATGTTAGCGTTAGCGGTCGGCATGGAGGATAAACATAACATTGATTATCTGTGGTGGGCTGGAGTAGACAGAGGCCGCCATTGACCGTTCGGCACAGAGGGGGATTGTGTTATCATAGCCACAGATCGGCCCCGGGCCCTGGTGCGGGTGTGAATGTTTACATAGCCCAGTGGTGGAGGGGGCCGGGGACAGACCCAGCACCTGCCAATCAGAGGTTGACTGAGGGCCAATGGCAGGGCAAGAGGTCGAATGTCACAGTGACCGTGAGGGATGAAGACGAAATGTGTGGGATTGGGGTTTTATGTGTCAGGGTGTGTTTATTTCCAAACGAGATCTAATCAGGGAACAAATTTGATGAAAAATGGCCTCCAAAGTTGGATAAATCAGATGAAACCTCTCTATATATATATATCAAATAATGTCCTTGCAAAAAATAACTATGGTCATGACATGATTATTTGTATTATGTTCCTTAAGGTTAACTTATAATGTTAATAAAGGTTTTTGCACACACACAAAAAACAAATATATATGTGGAAAAACGAATCTTTTCAACCTTCATTCTGACCCTCTGTCTGAAGTGATCAGTTTTTAAGGGCTCTTTAAAGGGATACTCCACCGTTTTTTCATATTAAACTATGTTATTCCCTTAACTAAGACGAGTTGATACATACCTCTCTCGTCTCAGTGCGTGCACTATATCGCTCTGGCGCGCGAGACACTTTAATAGCACAGTTCATTCAATACGGGCCAAGCAGAGAAGCGACCAAACACCTCCACGTTTTCCCTATTTAAATACAGTTACACGAGTAGTCTAACTCGACCAAGAATGGTGACACAAAATAAAACGTTGCGCTTTTCTAAGCGTGTAAAGTGGATAACTATAATGTATGGCGGAATAGCATAGCAAGTGCTTGGGAGCACTTCGACTCGTGAAAAATCCTCTTCCTCTCCGGAGTGATGATATTACTGCGCCGAGTCCATAGATATATATGCGCCGAGTCGAAGTGCTCCCAAGCACTTGCTATGGTATTCTGCCATACAATACAGTTATCCACTTTACACGCTTAGAAAAGCGCAACGTTTTATTTTGTGTCACCGTCTTAGGTCGAGTTACACTACTCGTGTAACTGTATTTAAATAGGGAAAACGTGGAGGTGTTTGCTCGCTTCTCTGCTTGGCCCGTATTGAATGAACTGTGCTATCAATATATGAACTGTATGTATCAACTCGTCTTAGTTAAGGGAATAACATAGTTTAATATGAAAAAACGGTGGAGTATCCCTTTAAGGCTTGTCAGTAAACGGCCACTGTTATGATTGGCTAACGTCATTGCATAGAAAACAGTATCAATGGCCACACATTATTGCCCGTGAGTAAGTGTTTTGAAAACATTATCCATATAAAACCGTCATTTACAGACAAAGCATTATGAAATTTACGGTTTGTGTTGCAGCTGCTGTCAGATCCAGTACAGTTGGCTAATTCATCTTTCAAACAAAAGTTCTCGGCATTACTTTGGGCCTCGTTTACAAAACAATCTGCAGACAAATGCTCTCAACAAACATACAATCCTCAGATGAGATCCATGACGGCTGTAAAATAAATAATGCTGTAATGAGCCTTTTAATGCTCTAAAACCATGAATAAAATAATATGGACTGATTGCAAATAAAACATGTTATTTACTACATGGAAATAATGGTAATTTTATTGTTGAATTTTCAATGCTAAGTCAAAATTTTGATGGCTAGGTGAATGTGCGTAGATGTTTGACTTGACAAAACTTAAAGGAGACTTGTGTCATTTCTGTAGCTAGTCGGCACCAAACAGAATTGCAGTGGTTTTGATCACCCGACCACGACTTTATCATTGGCATTTTTTTAGGACTACCGGTTTGGTTGAACAAGTGTAATAATACACTTTACCCCTTTAAAAAAAAGGTGGGAGTCTCCTAATTGATGGATAAGTTACAACACTCTCTTATATAATACATGCTCTAATCTTTTTTGCACTTGACCAGAGCACGCTAGTCAAGTGTTAACCCTGGTATCCATCCCTCTCTTACACACTCTAAGAAAGTCTCTAAATCCCCAAAGGCATTTTGTTACTCACCCCAGAGGAGCGTAACTCTAGATCTCCCAGCCAGACATTCAGCTGTCACACTCGCTAATGTCTAATGTAAGCTTTGCAATGGAAGGCAAAGGGCATCCACTTAACACCTACGAGTTAAGTAAACACAACAGCGCGCCAACACATGCACGCGCAACTCTGATATACGGTTAAATGTCGCGAATGCTTGCATTTGATAAATAGAGACAGAACTTGGCGATGTCTCCAAACCTAGTGACCTACCTGCTTATAAGCGGATCTGCATGGTGACTGAAAACGTCTGTCTGGATGGGTTGAAGTGAGATGAGCATAAATAACTTCTATCAAGAGCACTGAGTTTCTCTGTAATGTTTGTGCAGGTTAACTCTGGGTAAACCGCTTGGCGAGGGCTGCTTTGGGCAGGTTGTGATGGCTGAAGCTCTCGGCATCGACAAGGACAAACCTAAAGAGGCCGTGACGGTGGCTGTCAAGATGCTGAAAAGTAAGTGTTTATGGATTAGTTTGTACATGAGTAAAACTGCACCCCGTTGAGCATCCCTAGTCAACATTTACCCTTAGTTTGCTTGCATGTGAACAGTATCTGAACGTTGTTATTCATCTAGGCCTTTGCAGAATTTGAGTTTGTGTGCAACTGGACCATTTTAGCATTTATTTTAATTTATTTGAAAACATTTCTCCACTAATGGTTTCATCAGATGTGGGATGGTGGGAATTACTTGACATTTAACCTCATCAGCTCATAAATTGATGTGGGCGTCACCTTTCAAATGGTTCGAATTGCTTTTTACAAGGGAGCTAGCTCTCTGATGTTGTGAATCACAAAACTACTAGTTGAGATATGGATGGTACATAAGTGAAAGATCAAAGCTCAGCAGATACAGGCTACAAATCACACCAGCTCAGCAGACAGATAAAATTCACATGTGATCTTCTGCAGAACAACTCGGCTCTTTTAGACTGTTTAATGCAGAAGACAGAGTGGGGTGTTCAAAGAAAAGCAAAGTGTTCGAAGATGAAGGTAAGCAAACATGTCAAGAAAGCTCTAATAATGTGTGCCTGTCCAGACAAGGCTTTTGCTAAAACAGCTAAAAAGTCTTACAAAAACACCAGACTGACAGGCAGAGCACAACACAGACAGAATAATATTGTCATATGGACCATATGAGGCTAAAATATCAGTAAAATAACTGGAGATTTTTCAACAAAAACAGCAGTGTGTTATGATCCCAGCAACACGCAAAGACAACTCCCTGAAGCATCATCATAACACTCGTTTACCAGCATTTATGATTCAGAACTTCAGTTATCCATATATAAATTCATATTCTGACTATCTGACATTTTGAGCTCTAGATATCAGTATCTGATTAATTTAATTAATTCAATAATGAATTGATATATATTTCATTTAATTATATATACAATTAAATAATATATATTTCATTAGTATATTTATTTAATATAATCTTTATATTATGTATATAATTTTTATAATTTTTTATATAATTGTTTTTATATAAGTTTTTCGAAATAATTTTTACTCCTATTTACCATTTATAATATTTAAAATAAATAGAATATATATATATATATATTCCATTATATATGTATATGTATATATTATATGTAATTTGAATATTATAAATAGTAAAAATGAGTAAAATAAATGATACATACAGTGGTGGTCAGAATTATTTGCCCCCTTGGTAAATATGATCAAAGATGGCTGTAAAAATCACATTATGAAATAAATTTTTTTCTCCAAAACACGTTGGGAACAATTATTTGCCCCCTTTTATTAAATACTTTTTGCAACCTCCTTTTTCCAAGAGAACAGCTCTGAGTCTTCTCCTATAATGCCGGATGAGTTTGGAGAACACCTGACCAGAGATCAGAGACCATTCCTCCATACAGAAGCTCTCCAGATCCTGCAGATTCCCAGATCCATGTTGGCGCTTCTTGTCTTCAGTTCAGCCACTCATCTTCTACAGGGTTCAGGTCAGGGACTGGGATGGCCAATGCAGATGCTTGGTTTTGTGCTCAGGGACACATTTTTGTTTTGATGTTGATGTTTGTTTTCAGATCACTTTCCTGTTGGAAGATCCAAACATGGCCCGTTATAAGAGTTCGAGCAGAGGTTGTCAGGTTCTGATTTTTTATCTGTTGGTATTTGATGGCATCCATGATGCCATGTCTCTGAACAAGATGTCCAGGACTTCTGGCAGAAAATTAGGCCCACAGCTTTAAAGATCCAGCAGAGTATTTCATTACAACAAACATCAAAATAAAAAAAATAAAAAATGTGTCCCTGAGCACAAAACCAAGCATCTGCAATGGCCATCCCAGTCCCTGACCTGAACCCTGTAGAAGATGAGTGGCTGAACTGAAGAGAAGAAGCGCCAACATGGATCTGGGAATCTGAAGGATCTGGAGAGCTTCTGTATGGAGGAATGGTCTCTGATCTCTGGTCAGGTGCTCTCCAAACTCATCCGGCATTATAGGAGAAGACTCAGAGCTGTTCTCTTGGAAAAAGGAGGTTGCAATAAGTATTTAATAAAAGGGGGCAAATAATTGTTCCCAACGTGTTTTGGAGAAAAACATTTATTTCATAATGTGATTTCCCCCCCACTTTCAATTGTTTTACTTCAATAAAAGGTTAGATTTTGCATTTAAAAAATATATATATATATATCAAAAGGATAAACAATGCAGATTTATTTTTTACAGCCATCTTTGATCATATTTACCAAGGGGGCAAATAATTCTGACCAGCACTGCACATATCATTTACACACATAATATGCTAATTATATTGTCAATTTAATTAACATTTAATTGTACCTTAACAATAACTTTTTTGTATTTTTTTAGACATAATAAATGAGTTTGTATATTGATGTTTATTTGGAGTGATTTTGGAGCAGACACTTCTAGGCACATTTATCACAATTTGGCCAAATATCAAAAATCCAGATGGATATAAAAACGACTTGACATAAGCTAAGAGTGTTTTGATTGGGTGCACATTTGAAAAACTAGCAAATGAGCCAGACTAGTTCATGTATTGTTATGATCTGAGAATGTGCATATGTTGAGACGGGGAGAAAGTGTGAGGCGAGGTCTTTACTGTAGAGGCCTGCGCAGGGTTATTTGTTGGTGCTGAGTGATGTTGGTAGAGCTCGGGTCAAGAGGCCGCATAGCTGACCCGGCGCTCTCCAGCTGCACAGCTCTCGCTCTTCACCTGCACAAAGAAAGAAAGAAAGAAAGAAAGAAAGAAAGAAAGAAAGAAAAGAGACTGGGGGAGGGAGCAAGCGTCTCAAAAGAAGTTTTAAAGGATGGAGAAAGAGCTGAGGGGGCAGGGCTGCAGTGCAGAAAACACTTGAAACAAGAGCCTGTTCACCGCTTACACCTGGCTTAATTATGGCCCCAGAAAACATTTAGAAACTTAAAGGGATAGTTCACTCAAAAATGTACATTCTGACATTATTCACTGATGTTGTAACAAATCCCTATAAAATTCTTTCTTTTGTGGAACACAAAAGAAGATGTTTTTAAGAATGTCTATGTGTTTTTTGTTTTGTTTTGGCCATACAGTGAATGTCAGTGGTGTTGTTTTGGACCCCATTGACTTTCATTGTATGGGCAAAAAGAGTTGGTGCATACTTCAAAATATCTTCCGCTTTCCACAGAAGAAAGGAGGTGTAGAACATGAGAGTGAGTAAATGATGAAAAATCGATGACAAATTGTTTTCGTTAAATGAAATAAAGATAAAGTAAAATGTAAATACTAGATGAAAACCTTAAAACTTAAAAAATGAATGGAAACTAACAGATAAAATAAGTTACAGTAATACATTTATTAAACTAAAACTGAAATGTGAAAACTTAAAAATAAATAAATGCTACATAGAAATATTTACAAAGACGAATATCTCCAATACTCACTATTAACTTACTATTAACTATAACTTTGTTTAAAAAAACTCCTAATTACTGCTTATTAATAGTTAGTAAGGTAGTTTAGGTATTGGGTGGATTAAGGGATGTAGAATATAGTCATGCAGAATAAAGCATTAATATGTGCTTAATAAATACTATTTACTACTTACTTACTAATTACTACTAATAAACAGCCAATATCTTAGTGTAATGCATGCTTATTAGCAATTAGTTAATAGTGAGAATTGAACCCTAAACTAAAGTGTTACCAAAAGCACATAACAAAACTACTAAAACTTCAACTAAAATGAAAACTGAACATATAAATATAAAAGGTATTAATAAATATATATGAATTTATAAATAATACTAAAATAAAACATGCAAATATTTTTTTGAGCCACTGTAAAATATCGAACAGAATCTCAGTTCATGAAAACACCATTTTTAGAGAAGGCTTTGAAAAGTTCGGGGAAGGAAGAGTGTGTACAGCGTTCTTAGGAGAAGAAACTGGAGTAAGATAAGACAGGAATGGCGGTCAGTGGATTGTGTCAGGTTCGCTCCAGTGATCAGCAGGCAGATAATGAAAAGGCCACTGTCTCTAAGGTAATTACTCTAAATGGAAGAAACGCTTTTTAATTGTGAGGCAATGAAAGGAGAGCTGTGTGGCGGCTCTTCAGTGTAACACTAAACCACACAGACAGACAGTTACACTGGGACACAGACAGACAGTCCAGCCAAACTACTCACACAGGGAGAGCTGGCATGTATGACATACCATAATATTCTACAGTATACACTCCGAACACTGAGCAATTGCATTGACCTTTCATTTCAAGTGACTTTTTTTCATGTTCATTATTATGAATTTAAATGCCAAATATTAAAATTATTACAAAAAAAATAAAAACTGATTAAAAATACAAAATTTCCCCATTTAAGACACCATTGCATTTTTAAACATTTATCATTGTTCTGTTTCGCATACTATTTTTTATGTATAGTTTACAGAATACAGTATCTGCTGTCAAGTATGTAGTATGCTAGTGTTAAAATCAGAACACAGCCGTACAGTCTCACTTGTGGGCTTTAGTGCGCAGAAAACAGGGAAAAACGAACAGGATTTATTAAGGATTTTTCCAAATCAAGCGGATTATTAGATTTGTTAAGTGGACACAAAATGTATTTTACATGTAAATTGTCTTTCTTTTTGAACCTTTCTAGATGATGCAACAGAGAAAGATCTTTCTGACCTGGTGTCAGAGATGGAGATGATGAAGATGATTGGCCGGCACAAGAACATCATCAATCTGTTGGGAGCGTGTACACAGGACGGTGAGGGATTCGTTTTAACCCTAGCCTACTGTATCATATTTGATACTTTCATTTCTAAGGTCTCTAAATTATCAACATGATCAAAACTTTGCTGAAAAGCCGGATCTTCTACACGCCTTCTTCTGTCTTCTGAAGAATAGTTCATACTTTTTTTTAGCAAGTAAAAGGCCTTTTAATATTATTCAGCTCTTGGTTCACGTGTTTTTGCTGTGAAATCTATTTTTATAAAGTAAACATTAGAGTAACTTTTATATTGTTCGTACTATTTCAAGATGAACACCTAACTGGACTGAAGCAACTTAGGTTTACTTGATCATTCATACACAATTTTTTAGAAATATAATGAGTCTTAAATATGATCCATCAGGCTTTTGAGGAACGTTTATTTCCTCTTTCTTTTTGGCCATATAAATATCAGCAACTGCACCAAATTGCATATTTTTGCTCAGTTTTGGCCTCTGAATAAAATTATGTGAGCTTCATATTCTCACTTTATAATACTATATGAGCAATAAAAGCCTGATGCATCAAATATGATACTCTACAAAAAAACACATATGCAAACTTTTTATTACTTTTTTATATTGCGTCAAAAGGTTCAATAAACCTGTCAAAAATACGATTTTTCTGCTTATGATTTCATTTGTCAGGCTTTACAGGGTTCTCACCTGTATGAATGACAGTGGGATCTCTGACAACACCTCTCTCTCTCTCTCTCTCTCTCAGGTCCATTATATGTCATAGTAGAGTATGCATCTAAGGGTAACCTTCGGGAGTATTTGAGGGCCCGGCGGCCCCCAGGAATGGAGTACTCGTATGATATTGCCCGAGTATCAGATGAGCCTCTCACCTTCAAAGATCTGATCTCCTGCACTTATCAAGTAGCCCGTGGCATGGAGTATTTAGCCTCACAGAAGGTATAAGCACATGCACACCATATACAAATATCATTTATATATGTATATATATGTATCAGATTCTTGCTAAACTATTTATAGACTTGAAATCCAACAGATGAATATATAAGAATCCTTTTTAATGCAGTTAATTCTTACATGCACGACGTTTAAAGAGTGTTCAGCCGTCCAATCAGATTCATGCGTCGTCCAAACATTTTTCATACGGTCAATGAACGAATCACAGCAGATGTGCACGACTTTGTAAGCCGGTCCCACCGCTCTCACTGCGAGCATGCTAACTAAACTGTCATCACGCTCGCCTTCCCGTCTGGAATGCACGCTGGGCCTTATCGCACTCTCACACAGGATTTGCCCTGCGGTTCATCCCTAAAGTACTTAAACGTTCCTGTGTTGTTTGTGTCTGCCTGTGTGTTTCCAAGATGAAGTTGTGATGATTTAAGTTATTTCTGTCTTTCTCCATCTCTATGGCAGTGTATACACAGGGATCTGGCTGCCAGGAATGTGTTGGTCACAGAAAGCAACTTTATGAAGATTGCAGACTTTGGCCTGGCCAGAGACGTCCACAATATAGATTACTATAAAAAGACCACAAATGTGAGTTTCATTTCGTCAGGAGACACTCCTCTTTACCTTTAAACACATTTCCTGTTGCTTTTCTGCTCGGTATGCATTCTTCTGTCTGTTTTTAAAGAGCACTCCATTACTATCTGTTGTGTTGATGTTGAAAAAGAATGAGGCAACACACACACTACCGTTCAAACGTATTTTTTTAAGAAGTCTCTTATGATCACAAATGCTGCATATATTTGATCATAAATACAGTAAAAACAGTAATATTGTGAAGTGTTATTACCATTTAAAATAACGGTTTGCTATTTGAATACATTTTAAGAAGTAATTTATTCCTGATTATGAAAAACTGACGCAAAGAAATCATTTCTTATTATTATCAATGTTGAAAACAGTTGTGCTGCTTAATATTTTCGTGATGCATTTTTTTCAGGATTTTTCAGAAAGAACAACATTATAAATGTCTTTGCAGTCACTTTCGATCAATTGTACTCTTTTGAAAAGTAGTGTATAGTATCTTATTTTTTTTTATGCAATGGTCAATAGCGTTTAAATCACATGAACTATAATTTGCTGCTTGCTACATTTTTATTCTTAAGCAATTTATTTAGATAAACTTCTGAGTAAAGATGAGTTCTCAATGCTTTTGGTCCATTTTTCCCTGATAAGAAATACTGTAAATTTGAAATGCATCTACTAAATGTTAATGTTATCAATGTTTAAGTGTACACAACCATAGAAATGGCCTTAAATCCAATATACATGCACTAAAAGCTACAAAACTCCAATTCAGATCTCAATGGGTCTTGAATCATTCTTTATACAGTTATATTCAGGCTCGACTCCTTTCAGCCTCCCGCCATCTCTTTCTTTGTTCTCTCACCTTTTCTCTCTTCCATTTCTCCCTTTTCCCCTCTGTTTATCTGTCACATCCCCCCCTCCTCTCACCAGTCTTGGCATGATTTGCAGATTCCCAGGCAGTCGGCGTGTAAAGTGATTTCAGCTCTTTGCTTATTTGGCCCTGCCCTCTTCTCTTATTCCAAAGCTTGTTGTTCAAGCTCATGAGAAAGAAATGTTAGTGACAAACCTAAACACATTAGCATAGCTTTAACTCTAATTCCCACCATTATACCAGTCTCTAGCCCATCGTAGATGCTTGTTTAGGCTGTAAATCACTCATCCAAGAGTTTAGGTTATCAGACATGTCAGCGAAAGAGTGTGTGAATATTAATAGCATTATAATCATTGTCAAATTTGGGTCAATGTTCACATAAGATCAACATGAAATTAAAATGGACCCTATTTACTTAATAAATAAACATTCCTTATTGTGCATGATTCTAGTTTACATGTGTCAAACTCCACTCCTCAAGGGCCAATGTCTCCAACCAGCTCCAAAACACCTGCCTGGAAGTTTTCTAGTTAGTTATTTACAGTTGTTAGATGGTATAGATGGTTGATCAATTGGGTTTCCAGCTTGTGGATCTGGTTGAAAAATCAGGTTCAACAGCTGGAAATTCAACTGAATCCTGATGGCCTATTTTAGAGCTGGTTGGACCAGTAGAAAACCAGCTACCATCTCCAAAAAACTTTTACCTTTAACTGGTAGGACTTGGATTTTACAACATGGAAATAAATGTAAGCAGCAACTTTTCCAAACTTAACTCACCAGTTCTGCTTTAGTCCTGATTTATTTCTTAGTTCTTATCAAGGTCACCAAGATCTGGCCATGAATATTTTAAACATAGTTTGGCGTTATTAAAACAACGAGCAAAGCCCAGATTGAGCGATACTGATGACTGATTAATGGCTGGGGTTAGATTCAATTACACTAGTTCAACCCTGTCTAAATAAAACACTGCGAGCCAGGAGATTGTGAACTCGGAGCCCTTCCTATTGGATCTAGCACTGTAAATGCCATTGACTCTTGTATCTTCTCCACTAGCCTCAATTTATAACCCCCCACAATGGCTCCTTCGGGAAATTAGAGTTCGGCGATATGTCCCACCAGGATTTAATTCCCATATTGGCTGCTTGAGGCTTAATGAAATTTCAGGCTAACGAGGGTCTCGTACAGATAAAGATGTGAGTTTCGCAGTGTGTGGATGTTGATGTGTGTTGACCGTCTTTGACCTTTTCTCCTCTGTAGGGTCGTCTGCCAGTGAAATGGATGGCTCCAGAGGCGCTGTTCGACCGGGTGTACACGCACCAGAGTGATGTGTAAGTCAACCATTTGTGTGCTTCATTTTTTTTTAAGAGGATATATCATTGAAAACATGATTATTATTGAGCTTTTGCTTAGGTTTATAACCCAAACTCACTCCCTAGTCCATGCATATTATTTACTGAACCTAAGCAATTGCAAAAAAAAACCCTCTATCACAACCAAGAACATTTGAACGGATGAAAGTGCAACTGTTACTGGTTCTGTAAGCCAATTATAACAGGAAATTTGCGTATAGAACACAAATAGCTGATTATTATTCTTGCACAGTGGTTTTGAAGGAAATGCGGAAGTTGTAATGGATCGAAGTCTAAATGGCTTTTGAAAATGACACTGTTAGAGATGTTTGTCTTTCTGCAAATTGAAAAAGGTACTGTTTTCAATATATTTGGAGAGCAGGAAAACACTTCTACTGTGATTGGAGTCGCTGTGTGTTTGTGTAAAGCGAGTAGTTTGGGAAGGAATAGGAACTGCTGGCTGGTGAGTTGAGGGTACGAGAATTGATTCCCTTCTGAACAGTGATGGAAAGTTAAGGAAGAGTTTTTGTAAGGCAGAGAAAGAAGAAGGGCTGTTCGCGGCCAGCGCTACACCGAAAAGCGAGAGATTTCACGCTCGACTTGCGACCAGTGCCGTGTTACTAATCTGCGCAGCTTCAAAGCCCTTCAGAAAGGCCAGACTCTCACCTCCCAGAGCCTGGACGGAAATGCCCTCGATCTTCCCTTCACTCCGTCCCGTCACACTCCTCTCTCCAGCGCTTCTCTACCCCATTGTTTTCTCTTTTTCTGAACACTTAAATGTCTCTTCCCCTCTTTTTTTTTTTCCATAGAGTGAAATAATCCTGTGTTTTTTTTGTCATTTGAGCTTGCATTTATCCGCTAGTACATGCTTGTTTCATCTCATTTTAAGCGTACTTTTTTTTTCTTTGTCTCATAAAGAGATGAAACGAACCGGAAGTTATGCTTTGGTGCATGTTGGATTTTTCACGCAGCCTCTGCGGGGCGTTTTTAAGGTTTGGTTTCATGCTTGGGCTGCAGTCATTTCTACATTCTTTTGTTATTAATAATCTGATCTTTTGGTTTTCGCCCATCAAGTTTCAAATTCAATATTTAATTTGTCCAGTATTTAATGCATTGGAATGTACAAAAACAGACATTATCATTTACGATTTTGGCCATACTGTCCACCCCTAATGAAATGTGTTGTAAGTGTGTGTGTTGTTTTGTAATCTCTTGCAGGTCATTATCTTTTGTCATCTGTGTCTGCTCTTTGTGTGGTCCGTGCAGTAAAATCAAATCAATAGCAAAGAGACCCTTATTGATGGCAAACTCTTGAATCTTTTATCTCAGCTAGGGTCCCGAGTTCTCTGATTGGCTCAGAGGCAGACACAATCTATATATGACATCATATTAAATTAATACATAAATTATAATAAAAATTGGCATGTTTTGACAAACAAGACCCCCAGGGAATGGGATGATGTAAGTTGCAGAGCTTGCAAAAAGGAAAATATGGATGCATGTGTGTGGATTTGCTTAGGATGTTAAATTGATGGCTTTTATGGTTAAGGTTCATCCGGCCCCATGCAAGGTCAGCTATATTAGATTAACAAGGTGTCACCCTTATATATATATAATTACATAGTTTTATTTATTTTTGCTTTTAGAAAATGAAGATTATATGCATTGAGGCATTATTTCCATGAAAGTTAAGCAGGTTTTCTTCATGCAAAATGTCATTTCTTATTTCTTTGTTAATTTTGAGGTAAATTTTTTGTGATATTCACCCATTCATTGCTAATTAGCAAGCAAAGTCTATTAGCTAGAGAATAGTAGACACAAGCTGATTGCATGGCTTATTGCATTGAAGCGTAAGGGTTCAAGAGGGCATTGCAGTGACCCTTTCTGTGCTCTCAGTGTGAGTGATTGATCATGGGGAGGTTAGCAGCGGTTACATGGGGTGACTGAATAGAGATGATGAATTTAGCAAACATGTCAGAGAAGATGCAGCGCTAGATAAAGACGAGAAGACAAACGGGGTTACTGATTATGTAAACAAACACGTGGACGAGTGACTGCAGGAGTAAACGAAAGCAGAGAGTCTTAGTGCTTTGCTTTGTGTTTTGTGACTGCAACGGGTCATCAGAAAGGAGTACAAACAGAAAAGAAAAAAAACGTGTTGCTCAGAGATTGCTCTTTTGTAGCTCAGGAGACTAAATGATGAGTTCATGCTTCATTTACATATCTACTTAGTTTAGGATGTTTCTTGAAAAATTCCATAGGAGCAACAAAAATAGACATAAATGAGTCAATATTTGACGTATAGTACAGTATATAGTATGTACTGTAGAGAGCAGCTCCAAAAATATTGGAGGTCATATTGAGATCTTTGATTTATTATTAAACTTTGGTATCTGAGAACATTTTGAGACACTTTTTTCAGAGGAAGCAGATTGCAATAAAAGTCTAAATTTGCTCTCTTTTAAATCTCACTGCAAGAAGCAATTGAGAAGTTACAGAGATCTCACTTAAGCTCTTTCTTTTCTATGTGTGTGTGTGTGTGTGTGTGTGTGTGTACCTACTTAACTATATTTTGGAGACAAATTTGTACCCAGAAGTGACCAAAACCTGACAAAATCTCCAAAATTCTCCCTTTACGTACGTCCTCATTTGTAAATCTGGTATAAAAATATAGAAATTAAAGGTTTTTTTAAAATGTAAAAATGCAGAAAGTTTTGTGTGATGGGTAGGTTTAGGGGTCGGGTTAGTGTAAGGGGACAGAATACACAGTTTGTACAGTATAAAAACCATTACGTCTATGGAATGTCCCCATTTAGATAGCTAAGTAAACGTGTGTATGTGTGTGTGTGTGTGTGTGTGTGGAGATCTGTTTCTTAAGCACATTGTGTAATGCATTGATAATTTCAAACCGTTATATCTTGTGATTGTGAAATGCTTTTGTCAACTCAGCAGGATAAATAAAAGCTTATGAAGATGATAAGGATTTCTGGCTCTGCATGTCCTCCGGCCTATTTTGGGACTCTCATATGATGAGTCAACACGTGTGGAACCCTCTGTGGAAACTCTTATCGTCATTTGAGTATTTTATCCATCCCCCCCCCACCCCGTCTTAGATGAAGCAACATGGAATTGGCATGTGATGAAAAATCATTCCCCGCTACAATCTTCCGCCCTCTGGACGTTTGTTTCCTGTGGGTCTCGCTAATGTTTGTTTTGGCTGGACAATATGTGTCATTGTGGCGTTCCATGGAGGACAAAAGCCAGCTTTGAGTCCAGAGTCATTTGAGTCGTGTAAGAGTGGTCCCACAGTCTGAGAAAAGACCGCATTTAGACCCCAACAGCTACTGCGTTGTTAGCGCCAACAAATATCACTACTGTAAATGGATCAAATTTGGAGTTTTGGCTTAATTTCACAGTCCAAATTTTGGGGATAGTGAAGTGATGGTACCACAGAAGAGGCTGGAATGTTTTGCTCCCTTTGACAGGGGTTGTTGAGAATAACTGAACAAAATGCTGATTGTTCAACATTTCAATTGCATGTCAATACACTCGCATTGTATTTTGTCAAAACACTGATTGAAAGTGTGATCCACAAAGAGGAACGTGTTGTACTGTGAAAGTGATCTGATGAATGTGTGTTTTGGTCTCTTCCAGCTGGTCGTTTGGGGTTTTAATGTGGGAGATCTTCACGCTCGGCGGTTCTCCGTATCCTGGAATACCTGTCGAGGAGCTTTTTAAGCTACTAAAAGAGGGTCATCGCATGGACAAACCTGCTAACTGCACCAATGAGTTGTGAGTGCTCTTTTCTCAAAGGTTTCATGTTACATGGTTTGTAATAGCATTCTCTCTATTTGGAATAATTTAGCATGTCTGCTAGTTTGTTAAGCTGTCGCCCCACTAACCTTTTTTGTCATTTTTATTTGCATTCAATGTGACTAGTTAAACTAGTGTCCTGGTTACCATTTTAATCATTTTCTATTTCAGTTGCAGTTTATTTTACAGTACGTGCACTTACATGTACTTACAGTGTACTTGCCTAAGAAAGTACTGGGTAATATAAGGTAACAACATGGGTTAAGGTTAGGTTTAGGGCTAGGTTCAGGCTTAGTACCTAGTTATTACCCAGTTATTGTAATAACTATAAGTACATAGTATACATGGGGAACAGGACTGTAAAATAAAGTGCTACCTCTATTCCTACCACTTTTTGTCTTGCATTTGCATTATCAGTGAGCTGATGTCCTACTAATGGTTATTATCCTACCATCTTTTAACTTGCATTTAGCATGTCAGTGAGCTAGTTAAGCTGGCATACAGTGTCGTATGAATTTCCTACCATTTTTTCTGTATTGCATTTGCATTGTCAGTGAACTGGTTAAATTACCATTTAAATAACCATTTTTTCTACCATTTTTATTTGCATGCATTTACTTTGTCATTGAGATATTTAAGCTAAAGTCCTAGTAATTATTTTCATTTTCTACCATTTTTCTTATTTACTTCTCCATGTCAGTGAGCTAGTTAAGCTGGCGTCCAACTCACCTTTTTTTAAATCATATTTTTTGGCTTTCATTATATACTAGTTAAATGTGCAGTATAAGTGATTTCTGCTAAACACTATTGATATTTGAAATCACCAAAACAAACACACCTCGGCCTAAAAGGATCACACACACACATTCACGCACACACAATGCTAAACAGCCAACGACTATGGCGGAATCTGCTGTGCCTGCTGCTCGAGTGTATGATGCAATCAGCAATAAGTAGACTTGTAGTCAAGACCGCCTAAACCGAGACCAAGACAAGACCAAGTCGAGACCGGAGGGGAAAAAAACAGACTAGTGTTGAAGCTAAGCAATAACTTGTAAGATTTTGTTTTGCATTGCCTGCCTATCTCTGCCAATTTCAAAGTCTCCAAATGAATCCATTCTGCAACTTTTAAATACATAATTATATTTTTAAAAACGAAATTATAGGCTTAAGTGCAGGATCCGAAAGATGGTCGTTTTGTCGCTATGGTTACACACACACACACACACCGTTGGCGGTGCGCTCAAAGTCATCTGTCAGTTGTGCAGTTACCCAAAATCTCCTGAATTAAGTTAAAACCCATCATGTCACTGATATGTGTTTTACTAAATATTATTAATACATCAAAAACTGTACATGATATGTGTTTTTTAAATCAAGTGATCAAAGTGCTCGTTGCCGCTGCGATCAGTGGCGCGGATACGGTGTTTTCTCGTGTGGCTCTCGCACACCGCACTGTCTTCTCTCGGACGCGCGCTTCAATCCGTTGCGGATATCGTCGTGGATATTGTAGTATTATATTGCTAAATCCCCCGACCACTATGTCAGTCTGAGACAGCGAGACCTAGACAAGACCGAGAGGTCCGAGACCAAGACCAAAGACCGTCAAGGCCGTGACAAGACCAAGACCACTTTTACGTGACATACATCACTAGCAATAAGTGAAAGCAATTTATGTTACTATGGTTATTCAGACCGAATGTCTAATTGTTATTTAGCTTTTTTGATGGCAAAGTCACCCCTTCTAGTGTCCCACTAACCACTTTTTGTGAATGAGCTAGTGTCGATTTGAAGCTAATTTTCCAGCTAGTGTGAATTGGCTCTTCCAAGACACTTTGCAGCTTCTGAGAACAAGCAACAGATTGTAGTTTCACAGTGGTAGTCTTTGGTCTGGCTCTCATAGCATTCGCTGTGACAAATGAGCTCCTCCTCACCCTAACCCCCAAAAAGTATCTAGCAGCCATAATGTCAATGACCTAACAAACTTTCACATTGGTTTGCTGCCAAAATGAGACGTTGCAGTAGCTTTGAGATGTTGCCCTTTCATCGAACCAGATAGTTAGCGCACACATACTCGCCTGAGCATGTCTGATTACTCAAATGGTTGCACCGCACTTGATCTCCAAAACAAAGCGTAGAAATAAATAAATGATGTCACATTGTCTTTTCCTCTTTCTCAGGTACATGATGATGAAGGACTGCTGGCATGCGATCTCTTCCCACAGGCCCACATTCAAACAGTTGGTTGAGGACTTGGACCGCATTCTCACTTTGGCAACCAACGAGGTGAGATGTGCACACATTGACACACGCATGCATAAACAGACCCGAAACCAGTCACACTTTCTCTATAGTTCTGGGATCCATCAAACCCATGCCAACGCTGGCTCCAGCTCGCAACATTTCGCAAGATCCGTAAAGGGAAGGAAACAGTTTTTACGGTCAGCGTACAGGTCGAGAGTTGCACGTGCTTGGGTTTGCGAGTGCGGTTAGCGTTGCTCAATTGTCAGATGGATCCCTACGACGGAACGCTAGACGATTCTTTCCGTTCCCTAGCTGTCATCCACGATATCCATGTGGCGGGCTGAGGGATGGAAATCTGTCAGAACTTGTCGAAGGGGGGATTGAGCCGTGGAAGAGAGATGATGCCAAAAGCCCCGCTCTCGCTCGCCGTTTTGAACTTTCGAAATGTAATAAAGTGCCTCTGCTTTCTTCCCCCCGTCTTAAACTGCTCACAGATGTGAAGGTCTTTAGTAATGTGAGCTGCCTTGTGTTGAGCAGCGAGAGTTCAATCCAACACTCATTTTCAGCAACCTAAAACCCCCCTCTTCCTCTAGTCAAATAGCTCAGTACAAGCCACAAAGAGAAAATGGCTCCAATTTTGTTTGAGGAATGAACCAGGGAAAAACATTCTTCTGTACATTTTTCTTATACTGTATATTCATGTGCATTGGATGTTTATATGATGTATTTCGAAAATATATATGTCTTCAGGTGTGGTCCCTTCTGATTCACTGAATTTCGATAACCAGATTTTGGTTAGACTTGAAGGAGACTGTGCAGACGTGGAATCTGCCACAGTGGTTTCCAGCTTGGTTAAACTCTTATTGAGTATTCTAACATTTGAGCGTGCTGTATTTTGAAGGAAGCGGCTAGTAGTTGAGTGTTATTGCTGGTGAACCACAGCGGAAAGTATTATTTGAGTTTTAAATAATTATTTGATTATATACACTAGTGTTCAAAAGTTTGGGGTCAGTCAAAAAATGCTTTTTGAAAAACAAAAGTATCGGTTGCCACAAAAATTGGAACTGTTTTCAACATTGATATTAATCAGAAATGTTTCTCGAGCAGCAAATCAGCATGTTAGAAGAATGATTTCTGAAGGATCATGTGACACTGAAGACTGGAGTAATGATGCAGAACATTCAGCTTTGATCACAGGAATACATTATAAATATATTCAAATAGAAAGCAGTTGTTTTAAATTGTAATAATATTTCACAATATTATAGTTTTTACTGTATTTTTAGAATGCAGCCTTGTGAGCGACTTTTAAAAAATCTTACAGACCTCAAACCTTTGAACAAGATCATAAGTAGGTGTAAACAAAAACGACATTTACAAATATATATATATAAACTATGTGTACATATTTAAAAAATAAAAATAATAATGACACAACCAAACAAATGTGCACTTCAACTAAAATAATATCTATAATAGTAATGATATCAAAATAACACTGCTTTCAAATGCTTTTCCCCCCATAGAAATATGTTTTATTTTCCAACTGGAAAAGGTTCTCCATTCCTCATTGACTAATTCAAATATAATTTGGCTCTATGTTTTTTCCTACTAAATGCATAAGAACGTATATGCTGATGGCTTGATCTGTGTGTCTGTAGGAGTATCTGGACCTGTGTGCCCCAGTGGAGCAGTATTCTCCCAGTTTCCCCGACACACGCAGCTCCTGCTCTTCCGGAGACGATTCCGTCTTCTCCCACGACCCATTAGCAGACGAGCCCTGCCTTCCCAAGTACCAGCACATCAACGGAGGCATAAAAACATGAGCCCGTTCAACGTCCTCCAGACCCACCACATCCAAGCTACACCTCCAGTTCTCAAAAAGAGTGAAAGACTTTTACCCACAGTTCACTTTTACCCACCCAGAACCGTACGCTGCCTCAAGACCCCTGGTGAAGCTCCCGCTGGACTTTGGGAGCGTGCTGAGGGAGGCTGAGACGCCCGAGTGCTGCTTTTCCGGAAAGAAACTGAAGTGTGTGAAGAGCAGGTGCTTTTTTTTTTTGTGTGGAAACACACACTTGCGCACACAAAAACACGTGACCAAGCTCTTAAGAAGAGGATGAGGACCAGAGAAAAGTGACTGTTCTCAAGGGCCCACCTCTTTTTTTTCTTTTTTGTTTGTTTATTTTGCCGTTTTTTTCCGTTTATGTTGGGATTTTCTTCCATTCTTGCCATCATTCCATTGCTTGGCATTCCAGGAGTCTGTGTTCCCAAGTGAAATGAAATGGAGCACGTGTACAGAACTCTTAAGAGACTAAAACCAAGACAAAAAAAGGAGAAAATAGGAAACGAGTACTATATGGAAACACACAACTAACAGAAGAAGAAGTAGAAGAAGACATATCACTGCCTCCGGTTGGTTTTTAAAATTGTTTTATTTTGAAATGTTCCGTTTTTACCGTGATAACTCAGTTATCGTACAAAAAGCCCAAGCAGTTATCCTTATTGGTAAAAAATAATAATATTAAAACATGGTATATAGTGCTGGGTATATTTGTAAATATATTCAAATATGTAAAAATATATATTATATATTTACAGTGAATTATTTTTTGTATGGACTTTCGAACAATTCCTCCCCTTTCCCTCTTTTTCTTCAGAGTCAAAAATGGATGTAGACAAGTCTAGATGTTTCTATTACATTCCCAGACAAACATTCGCACATGTACAGCAGGACTCGACATTAAAGAAAGTGTTTTTCTGAGTGTGTTTTGAGGTATTTCCTGTTAAAACAGGACGTTTCTTTTCTTTGTCTTCTATTAGGAGTTCACTAGCATTTAGATGACCTCAAAATGAACAAATATGCACTAAAAGCCACAAAACTTTTATTTTGGTGCATGCATATGTTCCAGACACATTGAGCTGTGGTGCTGGTTTGAATCCGGGAAACGTTTAATGTCGGGTCCTGCACAACTCTCACTTGCTGACACAGTCACGTATTGGCTTTCAGGGAAAGAGATAGCATGTTAATTTATTGACTTATGTTAAAAAGAATCAAAAGGATTCAAAAAAGATCAAAATAATAAAGAGATAATAATATTAATGATGACAGTAGAAACGATAATGATTCATAATGTTTATTTTGTAATTTAAAATGACATTTCAGTGAGGTAATGGTACAAATAATTATTTGTAGCTGGTATCGAAAGATTTGCATTTCTTACGTTTTTTTTTTATATATATACAAATGTGAATGGTAAGTTAAAATGCAAAAATAACGTACATTTTTATAGTCAGCTAATCCCTTTTCTATTGTAGAGGATGTTGTTTTTATCCGGCTATTTTACTCACACTGAAGTTTGCATTTGAATTTGACAAAATACTGGAAAAAAAAAGGTTGCAGTATATATTTTTTTGCCGTTTTACCCACATCAACAATACAGTTTTCAAAACACAGAAGTATTAATTGTTCAAGTGTTTCATTTTCTTCCAGACAAATGAGATGAGGGTGTTCTCAACAAATGTTCCTGACAGATTTGTAAAATTAAAGATGGAAAAAATGAATTGTGTGTGATTTGTTTTTTTTTATACTATTGTATGTGATGATCAGTCTCTTGACTCTCTTTCTGGTGTCCTTGCACATATTGTGAAAGTTTCAAGTGCACAGACACACATCCTTGTCTTGATGTAGAAAGAATTTGATAAGAAATGTTCATATTGAGATATCTAACAGTAATTTAAAGTTTTGCTATTTTGGCATATGTGAGCAGTTTGAGACCTTGTTGAGATCTTTTGATGAGACGCGTATGATATTACTGGGGTCTTTTTCTTAGAAGAATCATCTGAAAAGCAGATGTTAACCTAAGCAAATCAATCATTTGATCTCATTTATGTCTTATGTCTAAAAATTGAGATGACTTTTCATTCCTGTAGAAACCAGCATTCCCAGAAAAGTGCCATTACAGGTCATTTTGTTCTTCATAAGGCTGTGTTTAAGACAGCTGCTCATCCCAATGGCGTCACACTTACATTTGAAAAATAAAAGTTTGGGGGTTTTCACAGCAAAAGCCATAGAAGAACCATTTTTGCTTCCCCGAAAGAACCTTCCAGTGAACAGCTTTTTTCTTAGTATTAAGGACATTTTTTAAAAAAAATCTAAAGAACTTTTTCCTTTATAAACAACCTTTTGTGCAATGGAAAGGTTCTCTTCATAGAGCCATCATTGCAAATTAAGAACATTTACTTTTAAGATTGATCCTCAGAATGGAGAAGAGAGTAAAACAAAAAGATGAGACAAAAAACTATGATGACTGAACCCTGTCATGACCATCAGTGGCACAAGTGTACTGAGATATCTGACGTTAATTTTAAGCTTTGTTATTTTGGCATGCCGTATGTTAGCAGTTTTAGACGGACTAAAACTAACTTTTTGCCATATCTGCCAATGAACGGTGACTTGAGGAAATGTTCCGGCCATAAAATTCACAATTTTCAGGTACAGTTCATAAAGTAGGCTAATCAAATGTAAAATAACACTACATAGTCTTCACTGTATACATTAAGCATAGATTAATCCTTATTAAAGTTACAAAAGTTAACACAGACAGCATCAGGTATATTAGGCTGCTGTCACTTTAAGACCGAATGCACAGATCGGTTCTTCAAATCCGGCCCTAATCAAACTCACCTATCTGCAATTTTCTAGTAACTTTGAAGACCTTGATTAGCTTGTTCAGGTGTGTTTGATTAGGGTTAGAACTAAACTCGCCAAGACGGGCATTTTGCGGCATAATTTTGTGTGAATTTGTCCATTCAAGCGCAAGAAGACGTAAAAGAGATTGACACCGCTTCATATACCGATTTTTACTCGCATTTGGCGCTTGGCGAGTGTTAATTTTAGGCCCTTGTTCTTAGACCTTGTTGTGATCTTTAGATGAGACACTTATGAGATTACTGGGGTCATGGGACAATAACTATGGTGACTGAAACCTGTCATGACCATCAGTGGCACAAGCATTCAGACCCCATTACTGGTCTCCACCAGCCTGTATGATCCGCTTAATGAGAGACTGCGATGAGCATCTGCCACATAGAGTTCTTCAGCTCAGAGCTGTTGAAATACGTGAGGAGGCCCATCAGAGCGCCGACTACCACCTCGATCTACTCGTTCTCGTACCGTCCATCTGTCAGGAGGCTGTTTGCACAAGGTCCAGTCCTCTGGAATGTCAACATACAGACCCACACTCACGGATAACACACCGGTGACGGTTAATCAGTAACACAAACCATGGTTTAGATGCTTACATAGCAAACTCAGTGTGTGAATTATACTTTCAGAGTCGGCTTCTGTAGAGACATTTCTGAAGATCATTTTAAAGCATTATCTGTTGAGGATCATCTCACACAACTCAGTTTGACTTTTAATGCATCAGGGTAATCTTAAAGGATGTGTGTATTTTCTGTTTATTAAGGTAAACTCTATAGGCAAAACCATTGTTTTCAATTTTGGGCTGTTTCTCTTCCATAACTTTCCTTCTTTCATACTAGTGGAAAGATAAATACACATGACCTAGCTACGTATACGACTTATATACCAACGTTTACAGTTTTATTCCTATCTGTATTCTAAAGGTTTTCACTGAGGGGTTTGCTGATCTGATTTATATTTACATATATTACTAAAAATATGTTCCTGATTCCTGGCTATTAAAAAAAAACTCTAATAAAATATGTAACACAAAATTAAACAAGAATTTTTATCCAGTTCAGATTTCTATTCTATAAATGTATGCAAATCAGTGCATATTTAATTAGATAATGATGTATTTGCATGATTGAACAAAACATTTTAGAAAACGTTCCTATCACATAATGTACAGAAAGGTATTTGTAGGTATAGATTTTCAAACCACATTTACTATTTATGCAATATCAGAAATAGTACAAGTAGTATGCTAGTATGCAGTTCCACTATCCATTGTGTCTCTACGGCCCTATGAAAACATACCCATTGACTGAGCAAACACACACATTGGTCCCGCCCCCAAACTCACACTATAGCTGGGTTTCAGTCACGTGATTATGATGACGCGCGAAATTCAGATGGAGGGCAGGGGAGTGAAGAGCGCAATGGACGAGATGGAGGAAAGTCCGTACTGTACTACTTTACACGCTATTACAAGAGAAAGATATAAACAAAAAATCAAACATATGTTGGACGTGATCCTTACGTTATGAAGAGGAGCGATTTTCAACTGAATTGAAAGATTTTCCTGCCATCGAGGTGGTAGATATCAGCAACTACCTCGTCTTACAGACATACTTTGACTTTACAAAGTTCGTAAATGTTACACGTTACACAAACATAGCCACTTAAGTTGTATTAACTCACCATTGACGAAGTGATCACTGCACAAACGGGCATTTTCCCATTCGGCTCCTCCCGACCGCAGACGTAGGTTTGCAAGCCGTTTTTCCGGAGTTTTTCGGTCAATTTCTTGCATTTTCCCCCTTTATGAACAACAACTTTTGGTACACGATAAAAACTCCTCGTGGTTTGATCGATTTAAGTAACCATAAACGACGCAAAACATAGGCATTTTGAGTTTGTTATAGTGCTTTCTAAATACACCAAATCACTTCCTGCCCTCCATTTGCATTTCGCGCCATGGCAACGCAGTGGCGTGACGTCATATGAAAACAAGCTGATGGTTCCAGTGACTGAGTTGTTCGAACAATGACTGAATTATAACAGCATACTGCTCCTATTTTTCTACATGATCTTTTTTGTCAAAAAATAAAGAGCAGAATTTTTAGCAGTGTGCTGTTATGAATTCAGTCATTGTTCGCCCAACATGTCAGACAAAGGAACCATCAGCCAATAGTGTGAGTTTGGGGGCGGGACCAATGTCTGCTTGCTCGGCCAATGGGGGAAGTGCTCGGTAAGCCTGTTTGGAAACAATCATTATTTTGAGTTAGTTTGGTGACAGAAATCACATTCTTCAGAAGTCAAGACTTAAGCAAATCCCTAGTTTCTTGTCCCAGATTTGCACTGGTTTATAGTATTTTTTAGTGCAGTGATT